ACTATACTGAGATGTTTCAGGGAGTGTGGCCAAACAGAAGGTTTTAACCAAGCACTCCACATGTTTATCTCAAGCTTTATTGAGTTAATCTAAAGATAAATCAGTCCTGACTAATCCTGTTACTAATAGGAACAATTAAAGTATGAGCCCCCACAGCTCTTCCTTCTCTCATTTATAAATCCCTGAAGCTAAAGGAGTGGACCAAACTCTAGCTTTAACAAAGGCAAAGAGATTAGACTGTTACTCTTCCAAGCCAAAAACCTGTCCACTTCAATTTGAGGTTCTTCGTCTCCCCCGTAATAAAATGCATTAAATAGCCCAAGTTTATCCCTGAGAAGACCTTTGTAGAATAACAATCTCTTCCATGTTTATACTACTTTTCAGCTCTAGAACAAGTTATTTGGACTTTCCCACCACTTCAAGATGGTGGAAAGTCCATACTATGTTCCTAGTAAAACAAAATCATGATCTTTGAGGCTCTCTGAGAGTAGAAGACTTCTGCCTGTAAAAAAATCTGTGAAGGAGTGTTTACAGCCACTGTCTAGTATCGCATTTAAATCTTTTTAATTTAAATAGGATGAATTAGGATGAAATCACATTAATTTTTTAAATATTTGGTTGCTCCTTGAAGTAGTCTAAGATTGCTAGTGTTTTGTTTGTTCATATAGCTCTAGAAACAAATTTACAAAATTCATGTCAGATAGTGGAAATGAGACCTAAACATATATAGTTTCCAGCTACATCTCTTCCTCTCCAATTCACTCTTGTCCTAAGACTCTGAGATAGTTGGGCTGAAAGTAGGGATGTTAAATTTAGATTAATTAACTAATCAAATAGTTGATGGGTTTTCTATGAACTGTTTGTTTAGTCTGTAAGGACACCTCTACCTTTGAAGTGGAAGCCCCTCAAGGAGTTCAGGGCCAGAGAGAAACTGGCCCCGCACTCCCTGCGCCTGAGCCTTTGAAATGTTACAAGAGCCCCAGTGGGGCTCTTGTACATTTCAAAAGGAAGCTTTGCAGAGAGCAGGGAGCCAACAGGGAAGCCTCATGCTCCCTGTGGGGCTTCTGTTTTTAAAATGTACAAGCGCCTCGTGGGGTTCTTCTACATTTCAAAAGCAGAATCGCAGCAGAAGCGGCGTGAGCGGCAACTGCTTCAGTCCTTGCTTGCGCCATTTCCCACTGTGCCCTGCCCTCTGCTGATAAAGGCAGCAAGGGTGGGGGGGAAGCGACTAGTCACATCACTAGTCAACTATCCGATAAGCTTATGCTTATCGGATATTCGACTAGTCGTTTACGTCCCTAGCTGAAGGGCAACTTTTTTATATATGCAATTTTATAAATAAAATAGTAATTTATTGCAAATATGTATTGGCTGTTCAAAAACATTACTAATTAAAGTGAAATTTTGAAGAGATACCAAAATAATTAGTTATGCCCAGTGATGATTTTGAACTGGAGGTAGCTACTCCTTACTTGTCATTTTTCATACTGGTCTCTGTTTCCAGACAATGAAATGGTGTAACTCTGCGCCAGCTGTTTCTGAATTTAGTGCAGTTCAATTGTGTATCTGGGAAGGCGACCTGAAGCTCCAATTCCAGTACCATTTTTAATTTTATAGGTACATTCTCTGTATTGCAGTAGCATCTAGGAACCCAGTTAAAGACTACGACTCCATTTTGCTAGGTACTGTACAAATACAGAACAAAAACCATTGTTCTTGTTGAGGTGGTTCCAGATGAGGTCTGGGTTAATCCCTGGAAAACAGGGTTTCAAAAACTGATGTCCTTTGGATATCAGTGCTCATGTGAACGTGATTTGGTTTTGTGCAGGAGTCAGGCTGCTTAAACTTAGGACTTACTTCCTTGTTTTGATACTTGGGTGAGCATTAGACTGTATTTTGAAGATCCTAAGAATACTTCTACACTACCGTAGAAGACCAGCAGCATGTCAATGGCTTGTCCAAGTCAGCTGGTGGTGAAGCTAAAAAATGTAGTGTAGACCAGGGCTATTCAACTTTGGAAGCCCTGCGGGGCCACAATGGTGCTGTAAGCACATGCTGAGGGCTGCAACTTAAGTGTGGTTGCATATGCATGCAAATATATTATGCAAATAGCTTTTCACACTGATGGGCATGAATATAAAGATTAAGGCAAGACTACATAACACACAGGCCCCATTTAAGTCCGGTATGCTGATATTAATAAATGCAATATTTACTCAATTTCCACCCATATGACAGCACTTTTAATGAGCAGTGACAGTCCAGGAATTTAACTACTGAAACACATATCAACAGAAGACCGATATATTGTCTATTTTTTTTGCTTTGGCTCCCACCTGCGGGCTACATGTTCAGCCCCAGGTAAACCCAAACCGCATTGCAGGCTGCAAACAAGTGTGCTGTAGTCTGCGTGTTGAGTAGCCCTTGTGTAGACATTTGGGGCTGCACGGGAGCCCACCACTCCCTGGCTCCAATCCAAACCTAAAAGTATGTCTGGCAGTTTTGCAGTATGAGATGGAGTCAGCTGACCCAGGCAGCTGTGGGTGTTTAAATGTTGTGTAGATGTACCCTAATTGCTTAGACTTCCTGTAGCTTTTCCATATCAGTCTTTTTACACTCCCCCTTTAGTTATCTCTACTGTTCTAAAAAGGTGCCTTTCTTGAATATGTGTATGTCAGCTACTGGGCAAACTGATCCCATCTCTTGGCCCCCATCCCTTCTTGTTGAGGGCACCCCTTAAGTGACAGCCCTAGGAGCCTGCACCTCTGGATGGAACCATTTGGTCTAACCACTCTGATTGCATCTCTGGGGCTGCAGCCTCATTAACAAGACAGGCCCAATTTGATGTTGGCATCCGTATCAGTTTCCTTTAAGGAGTCTGGAAGAGCAGGCCTGAAATGACACAATAATAACAAAGCATTTTTTAGCTTTTCCTCAATAGTACTGAGCATCTAGAGCAGAGGGTAAAAATTATAAACACCTACATATGCAGAGGTATTACTGACTCCGAATCATAGCGTCCACTGAGTCCAGCTAACTCTGACAAGGGGAAATATGGTTCCCGCTGCAATTTCTGCCTCTCTGCACCTGTGTTAGCCTGTCTCACAGCCTGCTGATTACTTCCCTCCTCCATTTCTGCCAGGGGATCCTTTTTAACCTGTTAAGTACTCTTGATCTTTATGGTCTCAGCCTTAGCAGAAGTTATAATTGTCGTTGAGGTTTCAGACTGAATATTATAAATAGGCAAATTTATTTATGGTACCTATATATGGGTATGTCTACACTACCCCCCTAGTTCGAATCCCCATGATTTTCCTGGGATCTTTCCCTCCTAGGAAAGCAGAATAAGAAAGTTTTAAGGCATACTCTAAGTTCTTTTCAGTTCGACAAAGATCATTTTGCCAAATTCACCTGTTAAAGCAGTATATAAATTCAGAGTGACTCCACTAAATTATGAAGAGCTACTCCAGATTCACATCAGTGTCATGAGTGGAATCTGGCCCATTATTGTATTTGATGTAATCTTCTGTGACAGTAGGACACTATTGTTGTGGATATGTTACAGACACTGAATACTGTACATCGATGAAAGAATGCAATGGTATATTAGTAGTTTCACAAAGGGCTTTTGTAGCCTTCATTGCTTTCAAATTTCAGCAGGGACTTGTTTCCATTTTGGAGTCAGATGCAAAAAGTATCAGACCAAGAATGTGTTTCTTTGCTCATTTTAATATATTTTAGCTTTTCTCCATTGTAACCCAAATGACCGCATCAGCCCCATGCAGTGGCCTGGGAGTAACTGTCTGAACTCCTGAAACTATGCCATATTACTCCGGGAGGAGGGGGTTTCTGCTGTTCTCTCTCATTATGCAAGAATTTCATGTAAGCTACAGTAATATATTCTGCGAGCTTCATTAAACTCATATCATCTGTTTATATTGGGATTAAAGATCTTTTGGTAGGCTTTAATTCTTTAGGCTGCAGATAGTCTAACAATAACCCTATGTGCAGTACAGTAATTCTTCATTTAACACGTGCCTGATTAACATGTCTTCACAATAGCACAATTTTTTTTTTAAGGGAAAGTTTTTTTTTCTTTTTTTTTTTAGGACCGGGACATAAGGCTGGGGGAGAAAGGGCCGGCCTGCAGCTGCATAAGGCTTCCCCCACCTCCCTGCAAAGTGGGGGAGGGTTCGCCGCTCACCGCGCCATTCCCCGCCAGCCCCCCCTTCACCAGACACAGTGTGGGTCCCGGCAGACCTCTCACAGGGGCATACTCCCAACCCAGTCCCCCTCGCCCTCTTCTTTCCTCCCCTCCCCCAGAACCAAACACCTCCCCTCCCTGCTGTAACCTAGTCCCTTTTCTCCCCCAACCTTATGTCCCTGTCCCAACAGACACCACCGCTTGAAACACAACCCCTACCTTTTCCATGTGTTTTTTAATGGGAAAATTGACCCCACATAACATGTTTTCACTTAACACAATCATTTTCTGAAACATATCTATAGTGTTAAATGAGGAATTACAGTATAGTGCGTCTGTCCATGTAACATATACATTGTCAAACTAGGATGTAAAATAAAATAACTTTCAGTGTAGATGTGTGCGTCCATATTTTGGACCGTTTGGACATGGTACATTAAATGTCTTGGCAAAATGTTTAGGGGGTCCAGAGGGGAAGATTTATTTGATGATTACCTATTCCCATCATTCCCTCTGAAGCATCTGGCATTGGCCATAATACTCAGAAGACAGAGTATTATGCTAGATGGACCTTTAGTCTGACCAAGTACCTCTGTTCTTATGTATTCTTTTGTATGCAAAGGTTATCATTTTATAAACTGCCATGCAAATTTCTTAGTTAGAACTGTGTAGTGCTAATACTAAACCAAGACCTTATTATGGAGATTCTGAGAACAGTTTTAAGTTTGGGGGACTGGGACTGAGTGCATTTGTTGATGTCTTATCAGAAAGTTATCTGAAGTTCTGTTTTCTATAGTAGTACAGGGAAAGCAAAACCTGAATGGTTTCTTCAGAAAGATTCAGAAGGAGACACACCTTCACTTATCAGCTGGCCCTCCAGGTATCCTAGAATGTAGCTGTGTGGCTAATAATTGGATTATATCTATTGTTACTGACTTCCCTTTCCTTCTCCTTTCCTCTTCCCTCATTTAACTTTTGTCTTTTATATCTGTCAGCAGCAGTGAATCAGAAAACACTATTTCTGTTCAATAAACTGCTGCTGAAATTTCTTTCTGGAGCATCTGTTTTTGTCACTTACTAATTGATGTTTTCATGAAGAACTAGATATTCCCCTAATGTTTTCTTCACAAGTATTATAATATTGGCATTGACTAATTTCTGTAACTTCTCATCTTCTTTCCAGCCTGTTCTTAACCATTTTCTCCCTTTGTTCTCTACCAACCAACCGAGTTTTTGTATTACAAAATTCTTTATGCCCTGGATACAGGCTGTTACTACAAATAAGAGTTTTTATCATTTTATTTTTTAAAACTGGAGTGGGGGAGGAGTAAGAATTAAGTCACTAGGAAGACAAAACAACCAAATATTCTCCAGTTTGACAGAACATGAAGAGTTCACAACTGGAAGCATGCACTCTGACAAGGACTCTTCATTGCTTTTCAGACTCCTGATTAAACTAAACGGTATGTCTACACTTGCACGTCAACAAAAATTTTGTCATTCACAGGGGCTTAAAAAAACCCATGAACGACAAAGTTTTGTCATGGCAAGTGAACGCTGCTTTGTTTGCAGGAGCGTGCTCTTGCCTACAAAGAGAGAACCTTTCATACAGGGTGGAATTATGTGCCAACAAGCAGTGTTCACACACACTGACTTCTAGCAACAAGGCTGTGTCAACACCACCTTGTTGCTAAAAGCTATGCAGTGTAGTCATACTCTAATAATCAGATTCTGAAAACCTCACCACTGATTGTTCTGGGTACTTGGTGGATGCATCAATACTCTAAAAAGCATTTTTTAAGCTTTGAAAATAAGCACTCTTATTTGTTTTTTGAGATAAGTCACTGTGGGTTGCTTCATTTTAAGGTGGACCAACCTTCATAAGGGATATAAAATATTACACAGCTGAAAAGAGTGATACTTTAGATAGTTGAGGATATAATGGATTATACTACTGCACAAAAGTATTAGTTTATATTTTTAAATCTTATTTTTTTATGTAAAATAAATTGTGCAGCTAGGAAAAGTGTGTTGGAAGCAAACCTTGAATTGAGCTTATTTGGGGAGTTGGAATATCTGTTAATTGCCACAAAATAGTGAGCTTGGTACTATACATCAGCTTTTTTTCAACCGTAGGCCAAAAAAACTACCTCACTGATTACCTTTTGCATGGCGAGCGTGGGAAAATAGCTTTCAATTATAATTTTTTATAACAATTTAAATTGTTATGGAACTGTCTCACTGATTTGTGCACTTTTTATGGATCTAAAAATTATGCCAGAGCTGTGTTAGAATTACGTGATTACATGCAGTAAAAATGCTGTCCTCGGGTGTTGATTATGCTCAGCTCCTTGATGTCAGTGGGAGCCAGCACCAGGCACCCCAGAGGCAGAATATAGCTTGTATTTGTGCACGTACCTCATAAAAGTTGAACAGAATTGCTAGAAAATAAACCAAGATAGAATAAGCTTCAGTACATTCTCAGAAATGTAGGATATTAGGATGCAGTGAAACTTTTCTTAACCATTCATACAATGTGCGTTGTTTTTGTTTTTGCAATCCCAGAAAGAGTAACAACCATACCAGGCTTTCATTTTCTACTAACTTTTTTCATTTTTAGAGACACCCCTTAACATTATTTTATTTCAGTAAAATTGTGTGCAGTATTTGACATGCTCCCATTTCTGAGTCTTGCATGGAGATTGACCTGTCTATGCAAAGTATTCTCCTAGTCTTTTTAATGGATATGGGGAAATACCAAAATGTTTGACTAATTTGTTTCAAGGTGAGCAAGAATCATTATGTTGACAGTTTAACCATACATGGCAAAAGGAGGACAGAGTTTCACATTAGACATCCTTCAAAAAACTGTTTTTTAGAAAGTAACCCCTTAGTCTCTGTTTTGAAAAATATGAAAATGTATTGTTTGACAAAAGAGTGGAATTGTGACTAATAGGAACGTGTTCTAAATTTGATTACTTGCTCAGTTAGCATTCTGAAAAGTCACATATGTACTGTGTGCCTGTAAATAATGTATACAACCTTAAGCCTGGTGTAAAGGCCAAGATTTTAAGACTGAGAGATTATTTCAAAGTATGTCCTTAAAATACTTATATGCTTATCTTTTTATTTTGTTATACGATGTTGCTCTCTGTTCCCACAGTTGATGCATGTTTTCCCAGAACTAGTTATTGCTGTTCATAGCTTTAATCCTTTTTCTTTCTTAAAGAGTAAAAGTTAGAGAGAAACTGGTGAAAGAGGAAAGTGTTCATGGAAGCCCTGAACTTGTCACAGACACTGTATCTCAGAAAAAATCTCATCCAGTGCCAGTTGATTACATGCCTCTTCAGTCAGAAACTTCTGCATTTAATAGGGTTGCCAATCAGACATTCAGTTCAGTCCGCCAACAAGTATATGGATGTTTTCAGCCTGCTGGCGTTGCTCATGCTGCCAAGCTGATGGCAACAGAAGATGCAAAAAATATCTCAATTAGCAGCCTCTTAGTACCAGACAATACCGGCATCATGACAAAATCCCCAACTGCCACTGCACTGGAAAAGGAAAAAAGTAACATACTTCAGAATTATGGCTCAAAGCCCGATGAATATCCTTTGGGGACGGAACAGCTTTTGAAAAGCAGAAAACCAGTTTTGCCACCTGAGGTTCACAGACAAGGGAAGAGCAACGAAGACCATTTTACAGCAAGTGAATTTGACAAGTCGGCGCTTTCTTCAGCTTTTATAAGCAAGCCAAAGGCTAATTCCTCAGAGTTGCAGAAAGCACTAGAGTTCACTAAGAGCCAAGACCCTGAACCCCTGTTTAAGACTCATGAGGGGACTGAAAGGAGTGAGACAGTTCTGTACATACAAAATGGATCTGTATCACATTCTGCTAAGGCGAAAGGTGAATCTCAGGAAGTGTCAATGATGAAGCATAAACTCCTGACGCGCTCAATGTCTGATTATACTGGTACTCCTAAGTCGGAGGCTTTAAAAAGTAAGGAATCTGTTACGAAAAAGGAGATGGCGTTTCAGAGTTCTGAAGCAAATGTGTCCAATGGTGAGATTGGCATGGTTGACACAAAAGTCTCTGTTGCTCAGCTCCGTAATGCCTTTCTGGAGACTGTCAGTGCCCACAAGAAAACTGAACTGTAGGTGACTTTTCAGAAATATTATTTTTGTGTGATACTTGCACGTCCTTGACAAAATGATAAATAAACTCAACATCAGTAGCGTTCTGCATTAAAACACACAGCTTAGCTCTCACCAGTGTGTATTGGAGGCTGTCAGCCTAAATCTGCTTCTGCTTGCTACTGGGCTATGATACTGGGTAGCTGGAACATTTGCTATACTTCTGTGCATGTTATAGTAGAAGCATGCCAAGTGATTTTTAGTGGATTGTTTTGATTGGATGCCTATATCTGTGCTTTACTTTTCTCTTCTGCTCTCTTTTCTTTGCACTTTCTATCATATGATTAAAAGTGAATCTCAATTTGAGATGTCAACATCAGGTACTGATTTGTCTGCCAATACTGAACGGGAAAGAGGGTCACGAAGGCCAAGGCGCTATTTTTCTCCTGGTGAAAGTAGAAAAACTTCTGAGAGATTTAGAACTCAACCAATAACTTCAGCAGAGCGAAAAGAAACAGATAGGTAGGCGCTTGTGAGAATATATATAGTGTTCTGATCCAGGTAAATATGAATAAGTTTAAGTAGAGAATTTTCCCACATTAATGTTAGCCAAATCATTCTATAAAGTGATTTTTTTTAATCGTAAAAGTAAAAATAGTCAAGGCCTCCTTCATTTTAAGGTCAGAAATGTAGTTTTTCTGATACCTGACAGTTTCATTCCTTTAAAAAACCGGTTGTTGCGTGATTTGTTCTCAGTCATAACATGATTGCGTGCATGTGTTTATAAAGTTAGGTCTTTTAAAAAAAAATAACAATCAAAACTTTGTTGGGTTAAAGGAACTGGCAGAAATTCTTACACTATAATTTTCTATGAGTTTTATATTTGAAACAATTTTTTTATCAGATTTAAGTTTGGTTGGAATTACTCATCTTTATGCTTCATTAGAGGTCATAAATAAAAAATATTTTAACTTGGAAGACATCCATGACTTTCCTCATTCATAAGACATTCATAGTCCCATCTGACAAATTGAGTGGAAGATTTGTGTTTCTAGGTTTTCTTTCCAACTAACTTTTTTTTTATTTGCTGATTTTTTTTAACTAGGTCGTCTTTGAGTCCAGAATTGCCAGCTGCTGAGGGTAAGTCTCAGTTTCTTCATCCTCGTTTCCTCTTCTGTAACTGTGATCTTAGTTGTTTTTTTAAAGGGAGTATTTGTCAATAAAAATTAGGGATGTGAATGGGTAACTGGGGTAACCCTTAATGTGATGCTTACCAGGTAACAATTAACCAATACCTAGAGATGGCAAATGGTGTCTGCTAAGAATACCAGCTCAAACTTTTTGAAGCAGGAAGCAAGATAGTAATCAGAATGTCTTGGCTGTACGGTCTGACATGGAACAGGTTATGCAGTGGTATTCCTAGAATCCTAAGACTGGAAGGAACCATTGAGAGATTGTCTAGTTCAGTCACCTGCCCTCATGGTATAACTAAGTATTACCTAGCTCATCTCTGACAGGTGTTGGTCTAAACTGCACTAAAAAAAAAATCTCCAAATGATTAATATTGTGGAATCTACCTAAACAATTTTTCAGTGCTTAACCACCTTTAACCATTAGAAAGTTTTCCCTAATATCCACCTAAACCTCCCTTGCTGCAATTTAAACCCCTTGCTTCTTGTCCTGTTGTCAGAGATCAAGAACAATTTTTCTCCCACCTCCTTGTAACCTTTTATGTATTTGAAAACTGTTGTCATGTCCCCATCAATCATCTTTTTCCACATTAAACAAACCCATTTTTCCTCCACTTTCGTCCTAGGTCATGTTTTCTAGATCTTTAATAATTATTTTTTTACTCTTCTCTGGACTTTTTCCAAATTGTTTACATCTTTCCTGAAATGTGATGCCCAGAACCAGACACAATAATCCAGCTAAAGCCTAATCAGCACTGAGTAGAGCAGAAGAATTACTTCTTGTCTTTCTTAAAACACTCCTGTTACACTGTTGGCTCTTATTTAGCTTGTAGTACATGATGGCCCCTAGATCCCTTTCTGGAGTACTTCCTATACAGTTATTTCCCATTTTGTACATGTGCAACTGATTGTTCCTTCCTAAGGTGGAATACTTTGATTTTGTCCTTATTGAATTTCATCCTATTTATTTCAGACCATTTCTGCAGTTTGTCCAGATCATTTTGAATATTAATTCTATGCTCCAAAGCACTTGCAGCCCATCCCAGCTTAGTATTGTCCACAGACTATGACTGTACTCTCTATGTTATTATCTGAATAATTAATGAAGATATTGAACAGAACTGATCTCTGTGGGGCCCTATTCACTATGGTCTTCCAGCGTGACTCTGAACCATTGATAACTACTATCTGGAAACAGTTATCCAATGAGTTATGCACCCATATTTATAATAGCTCTATCTAGGTTGTACTTCCGTAGTTTGTTTGAGAAGGACATACAAGAGACTATCTTACACCTTGTTAAAGTCAAGATATATCACATCTATGGTCCCTCCCTCCCCCCATCCACATGGCTGATTTCCCCTGTGAAAGACAACTATTTGGTTGGCTTGACATGATTTATTCTTGACAAATTCATGCTGACTGTTACTTATCACTGTGTAATTTTCCAAATGTTTACAAATTGATTGCTTAATAATTTGCTCTATTATCTTCCCAGCTACAGATGTTAAGCTGACTGGTCTGTAATTCCTGGGGTAGTCTTTATTTCCTTTATGGTTTAGTACTAAATTTGCCCTTTTCCATTATTCTGGGATCTCTCCATGACATTTTTCAATGACAATTGCTAATGGTTCAGATATCTCCTCTGTAAGTTCCTTGATTATTCTCTGATGCATTTCATTAGGTTCTGGTGACTTAAATTATTTAGACAAGTTAGATTATTTAGCTTGTTCTTTCCTTCCTTATTTTCAATGTCATTCACTATGTATTGATATCAAGTATTTGTTTTTAAACCACAGAGAGGTTAGAGATAGAGCCTTAAAATGATTATTGGTCCTCCAGTCTAGTAATGTTCTCCTGGGCTCAATATAAAATCCAAACATGGGCTTACTATAATTTTTATTTTTATTTTTATTTGATATGCTTATTGGAATGACACATCAAATTAATGCTAGTACATGAAGTAACTGTTGAAGAAAAATAACTTGCTGCTCTTACATCATGTTATATTATGCTGCACCTAAGAATGAGTCTCATTTTAAAAGATAGTTTTATACTACTCCATACGGATGCATGGTCACATTACTTTTGTTGAGCTAAACAGACACTAACATGCTGTCACATTTTATTGTTTGTGATTCTCATGCTAGTAAATAAGCTTTTTCTTGAGCTAAAAGCATTTCTGGACTGGATCTCTGAAACACTGACATTTTAGAGTATATCATTTCCATTTCCTGCTGTATCCTATTGTTTGATTTCTGTAGATGAAGAAAAACTGGATGAACGAGCCAAACTGAGTGTTGCTGCCAAGAGGCTGCTTTTCAGGGTAACTGTCAGAATATTTTTGCACATGGACAAAGTCAGAACCTTAATGCTGTCATAGTATTTTTAATCTGTAATTACATTCGCATACATTGGTATGTTTTCCCCTATCTGAGTGCTAGACATATTGTTTACATAGTTCTGTGGTGCTGGTTGTCATAGTATATCTCGCTGCCAGTTCAGTGGTCATCCTTCTACAAAAGAATTTCAAAACCCTATTACAAAGGGAGTCAGCTGAACAGGAATTCATTTACAAATTCAACACTATCATTTTATGATTGAATAAGGATTTCAACTGGTTAATGTACTACATTGGCAGTTTCTCCATCTCTGGATATTCACATTTCCACACCAAAAGACCAACTTCCACCCTGGCTTGATTAGCTTCATAAATGCAAGCAAGTTCTTCTTTTTACAGTAAAACTCCAATTGTCCGGCATCCAGTGGTCCGGCACTCCTGACAGTCCGGCACCAACTGAAACCCGGAAGTGCTCCAGCCAGCCGGACAATTGGAGCTGCCCAGAGGCAGCGGCACAGAGGGGGCAAGATGCAGGCAGCTGTTTAAGGCAGGCAGGTGGGAGGGGGAGATGGGGTGTCGGCGGGGAACGGCATGGCAAGGCTTGCAAGCAGGGAAACTTGTAGGCAGCGGAGAGGGGGCGAGAGGCAGGCAGCGTTCCCCTCCGACCGCCCTCAGCCCCGCCCACTCACCTTAAATAGCTGCCTTCCTCTTGCCCCCTCTCCGTCACCGCCTCTTACAAGTTTCCCTACTTGCAAGTTGGCTGTCCAGGGCTTCCACCGCCTCCCCGCAGCACTGCGGAGGGTTCACCCCTCGCTGCGCCATCCCCAGCCAACCCCCCACACACAGTGCAGGTCCCAGCAAATTTGTCACAGCACCCAGTCGGAGTACCTCCCGATACTCCGGCATAACCGATAACCTGGCACCCCCTGGATCCCAAAGGCGCCGGATTATCGGAAGTCTACTGTGTATATGTATTCCTACCTCTGTAACTTTCACTTCATCAGATGAATTGGAGTGGGTTTGACCTACAAAAGCTTATGCCCTAATCAGTCTGTTAGTCTCTAAGGTGCCACAGAACTACTTGTTGTTTTGCCAATTCAAAGACGACATTCAAAAAACTTAACACCTGGTATCAAGGAAAGCCAAACAAACATTTGGTCCAATAATTTCTCTTCCTTTTGGTAATTGATATTGGCATGTATCTGATCCTAGGAAATGGAAAAATCATTTGAAGGAAAAAATATTCCTAAACCACATTCAAGAAATTCAGCAATAGAAAGAAGACTGCGGCGTATGCAGGACAGGTCACGCACCCAACCAGTTACTACAGAAGAAGTGGTCATTGCAGCAACGTAAGTTCCACTAATCTGTTAGCCTTGGCATTAGCTCAGAGATATATATATATGTGGCGTTTACAGCCTGGTAGTAAGGAAAAAGGCTCTTAGGCACCAACTTGGGAAACATATGGAGAATTGGCTATATAGACATTGCTTGCAGGGGTGCAGAGCTGGGTAAAAAGCGTGAACTATAATTTGGTGAAAGGCTTGTGAAGTAATGTATTTGAGAGGCGAAAATAATTACAGCATTGGTTTGTAAGCCAAGTGAAACAGATTTCTTTTTGCCTTCAAGAGATCTGCACAATATGTTATGAAATGTATTTGTGAGGGAGAAGACCTGCAAACCCAAATCTCACATGTATGTTTTGAAAATAAATTTCTTACCTTCTCTGTTCACGGATCCTGTAACCCCTCTAAATAACTCAAGAGCAAGCCACTTATCAGAAAAGAACATATGCACATAGCTAATGACTAAAATTTAAAAACTGATTTGTCTTCTGAGAAAACAGCAAACTTGGAGAGAGCAACTGTCTTTAAAAGTACACTGCAGAGAAAGTTGCTAGTTGTTAAACATTACTGTTTGATTTTGTCTTTTCTGTTAACACTTAATAAAATGCTTTTCTTAATGCTTTTTTCTTCTCTCTCCTTGTGAATTTTCCCTCCCTTGGCAATTCTTTTTAAAGTGAACCTACCCCTGCTTCATGTACTGTGAATACCCACACTGTAGTGACAAGAATACCTAGTCCCACTGTAGTTAAGAGCACTGTACAACCTACCAGGTACTGTAGGCGGGGGCGGGAACCTGCATGATACATGGAGCACAAGAATCCTGGACAGCAGATGCATTTTACAATTCTTGAATGCTTTATCAATGTGTCAAACAAGTCAATGACATTTATTAAGAACCTTTTAACAATACATGTGAACTTTAGTTGTCTGCATGATAAAATGTTAAGACTTTCTGCTTGTTAAGCATTTGATTTAGGATCTTTCTAACCACAGTTAACTATATGTTCTAAAGCATACGTACATGTTTTCAATATGGAAGATCTAAACATGCATGTTGAAACCCCAGCAAAATCACTCCTTGCTTTGAATTTCTAAAGAAAGGGTATTAGCTCTAAAAATGAGAATATCAAAGGTAGTGATATTTGATTTCACAAGTATTACATCCCTATTAGTTTTTCTCAATATATATTTTAGCCTACAGAATTAATGAAAGGATAAGAAATTGCACCATCTGTAGGTGTAAGCACAAATTCCTGTTTGCTATAATTAGTGAGTTTATAGTATGGTTTTTGTTAAGATAAATACAGCAAAATATATTTACAGAATACAATTTAGAAAAATAATTAAATATCAGAGCACTGTAGAACTTTGTTCAGTAACTAGATTCAGTGAAATGAGGTATACAGAGAAAAGTACAATTATGTCTATGTGAACAAACATAAACCTATAATGCTGTTGACATTGATCAAAATGATATTAAAGTATTGTAGTGGACTTCAAAATTGCTATACATAATTCCATTCAAAATGGACAAAGCAGAATTCTACAGGAGTAAATATTATTCTGTGTGTGCAGAAACTTCAGTCCTCTCTATTCCTATAAAGGTAGCTTATAATCTTCAGTTAAATAAGTCTACTCCTTGAGGCGGAAACTGCAGCAGTTTTGTTGCCTTGAAACAAGATGTTTCAGACCAGCCAAATACATCTATAAGGACATTAACTCTTAATTTTTAAGTCTGCAGCTGTTTAATCAAAATGTGTGATGCCAATGTTTTACACACTGTGTAACCATTGAAGCTTCTGTTTTATATTGGCTGTCATGCTTTGTGTGCAGTTCTCTTGGCTTTATATCAAGTTAAAATATTAAGCCAAAATATCCACAAAGAGTTCTTAAAACGTAATTTTTAGTTTCCCCTCTTTCAGGTTACAGGCCTCAGTGCACCAAAAGACTTTAGCTAAAGAAGACATAAAAGAAGCCAAAGAAGCAGTGGAGCCAGATCAGTCTGGCGAGCCGGACTCCTCCACACTAAGCTTAGCAGAAAAGATGGCCTTGTTTAACAAATTGGCTCAACCAGTATCAAAGACCATCTCTACACGGAGCAGGGGGGACATACGTCACAGAAGAATGAATGCTCGCTACCAAACACAGCCTGTAACACTTGGAGAAGTTGAGCAGGTACTTCCAGCTTTAAACTTTTCACTGAAAAGCTGGCTAAATTCAGTTTCAATGTGAGTTTCCTTAATAGTTGTGAGCAGAAGTCAGCGACATACTGACAACAGTATGGCATGTACTTCTGCTTACAGGAAAAAGCTTGTCAGGAAACATGCTACTTGCACAGGGGAATAACATCCTCTAAACTCTTTGTCTAGTTATGGTATTTTTTACTGATAATTTTAGAACAACAACTCTTCCTAGCCTGAAAATGTAGGCACTGTTGTATCTTTCATAGTGTCTGCAAGAAAAGATATTCTGTTAGATTATACTATATATTGGATATTTTCTGCTTTGGATCTTATCCTATCCACTGAATAGCAGAGGAATTCCCTTTACTGCTGAAATTTGAGAACAGAATGGCCACACTGCAATCCAGAATGGCTAACCTGAGAGGCAGTAGAAATGTCACCTGCTTAGTATTACCACATCAAGTATGAAATCTTATGAGTAGCTCAGACCTTGTGTGCAAGTTCCATTTCTAGGTATTTTACGTCAATTTGAGTTTTTAGTAAGCTGGTAGTTCTTGATTCTTGGACAGCATGGTGAGTGCTAAGAAGTGCTATGTTCTTTCCTTACCATTCATACCCCTTTTTTCTTACTTCTCAAATGGCTAGGTTCACTAACTTAGCCATACTTTCACTAACAGCAGAACTTGGGACATTTTTAATAGGCTGCCAGACTTCCTTGCCCCATACTTGGATTCCACTTCCATTCATGTTATATGTGCACCAAATAGACACAGGGCTTGGCACCTACATTTCTTCTAAGATGTGCAGCCATGTGGCTATGCAGCAGCCCTATAAAGGGCTGGACAAGCGCTCAGGACTGTAGTGGGGAAAGATTCCTCTCCCACAGTCCTGGACCTGTCATTGTGTGGGAGAAGCACCTTTCATTCCCGTGTCTACCCCAGAGCCCTACCCCTGCCCCTCCATAACTCAACCTTCTGGCCCATCACCAAATCCCATCCCACACCCTGAACGCCTCATCCCTGAACCTACCCCAGAGCCTGCAACCCCAGCTGGACCCCTAGCACCCACATATCCTCTGCCCCAGCCCTGAGCCTCCTCCCATACTCCAAAACCCTTGGCCCCATCCCTGTCGCATATCACCTCCATACTGGTGACAAAAAACATTCATTCCGCACATAAATGGGAATAATTAGAGCAGGGGTGGGGAACCTCAGGCCCGGGGGCTGATGCCAGCTTGCCTGGATATGGCCCCCAAAGCTCAGGGCCTCCCTCAGCATTGGGCAGCTCATGCTGGCACTCCAGCTTCTCCCTACCCCACCCCCACATAGCCTATGGGGGCCCAGCCTGGTAGATTGTGGTGTGAAGGGGGTCACTTTTGGGAGCAGGTCAGGAATTGTCTGTGGATCAGTGATGGCTGTTTGTTATAATCTGCAAAACATTTTGTTTCTCAACTTGATCTTAAAACATGGAAAGTCTTTAGCCATTGGGACTATGATCTTTGGTCCTAGCTAAGAAGGGCAAACACATTTACCTATAATGAACACACTGGAGTGTAAATATCTTTTGAAGAGCTGAGCCAGTAGCAGTGGGTGGACAAATAGAATTTAGTTGTGTAAGGGCAGGATGCGCAACAGAGGAAAATTATGCAAAATAAGCACTGCAAACACATTATACTATGAGCAAAAATAAAACCTGCTCCTTAGAGAACCTAATTACAGAGTAGTAAAGATCTATCAATTAAGCTTAAATCCCCTGGTTGTTGATTTCCTGTAAACATTTTCCTCTGGTGATTTGCTGCACAGTCTAGCTTTTGAATACCTCTGAACATCTATCTTTCTCTGGGAGTTTCCGAACAAGTCTAGTGACATCATCCTTGCTTTCCATTTTGATTTTCATTTATGATCACCTCATTCTGAGTTCCACTCTTCTGGAGTATTATGAAATTTGCACAGGCATTTTACAATTTTAAAGGCAGTTTTTCTCCTTTAAAATTCCCTTTGCATACTGCGCACTTAATAGGTCTAGTTGCCACATCTGAAATGACTAGTGTGTGTCAATTTATATAAAAGTGACTTTTGTGTCAACTCCTGTACCACTTTATTCTCTTCTGGGCAGACAGATGTTTAGTCTGTTAAATAATAACACAACAAACTAGAGGATAGAAGAGATCAAGAATATGCCATGTTATAAAGGCCAAGATAATAGTCAAGCATGGCAACTGTGAATGACAAGCCAACTACAAAAGAAGTTTCTCCTCCCTTGGTGTTCACACCTCCACATCAGCTGCTAGAAGGACTCATCCTCCCTGAATGAATTGACCTCGTTATCTCTAACCTTACTCTTGATTGGAACTCTTTTCTTATGCCCATATACTTATCCCTGCCTCTGGAATTTCTACTACATGCATCTAACAAAGTGGGTCTTTGCCCACAAAAGCTTATGCTCCAATAAATCTGATAGTCTGTAAGGTGCCACAGGACTTCTTGTTTGTTTTTATAAAAGTCATGTAACTGTTTTTAGAGCAACTTAAGCATGGGTGGGGGGGAGAGATGCTGTTCAACCTTTATTGAAGGTGCACACATTGATTTGTAGCATCCTGGACTGAAAGGAGGCAACCTTTAATGTTCCAAATGTTTTCTAAAAATGGTGTTGTCAGTGTCTTTTGATCAATTGCATGGAGAAAGATGTGTGCTTTTTCCTCCATTATGAGAGGAAGAGAAACAGTATGCTATTGAAGATGCTAGCATTTTGATCACTAATGGAGTTGTTTTATGTAAGGTACTATTATGTATTTTGTACCCCAAGCCAAATTGTAAGGATGTGATTCACGCCTTCATTATCTGTTCCTGCTATTTATTTAGATAGCACCTTGCATCTGCATAGGCACACATTCCTTGCCCTAAAAAACTCATAAGCTTCTTATAAACCTGTACTTGTGAATTGCTATTACAGCTCTGTTTAAGGTCACACTTTTTTCAATAGTTGTTTTATTATCTATAGGTACAAAATGGAAGTGAAAAAATTACTCCCTTGTCTTCTGCTATTCTAACATCAGTGTCAACTATGACATCTGTGATTTCTCCAGTATATGCTGGTGATCTCCATGCAAAGTCAGCAGCTGATGAAAATGTAAGTGCTACCAGTAAAGTAGATTTGAGATGCCACTCTTCACTAGAAAATGCAGACACTCCAGTAAAAGGCATACTGAAATCAGAACACTGGCAGCCTTCAGTGGAAGCAATGGAAAGCAAACGAGCATCAAAGGAGCATGAAGAGGAAGAGACAAACAGATTCCTAGCATATGAAGATAATGACGTCAAAAAGTACAGCTCTTTTGAAGAAACAGCCACCCATCCTGTTCTTAGTAAAACAGAGGACTACCACAAAGAGATAAAGTACACTTTCCCAAGAAAGAGCAGTATGGAATTGTTTACCCAACAAGCACTTTTACAGCCTTTGGAACAGAAGGAATTTGTTTCTGATACTGTCCTGCAGGGTAAACAGGAAGTCAAAGAAGGCTGGTCCTTGGAGGAAAAGATGGAGGTGGAGAATGTCTTGAAAAGCAAAACCTTGCTGAGAGGTACAGTGTATATAATTGCTTTTAGTGTGAACATCTGACATATCTTTAAGCCTTTTTATAAAGAGTGAATAAATCTTGTGGAGTTTGAGGTTTTTGCAGACATCAGAGTTTTAGTTTCAAAAACTTAGTTTCTAGCCCTGTCCCCTCTTTAAACTTTTAAAATGCATTGGTCTTCAAAGGTGATTTTTATTAATCAGATATCGTTTTCTTATTAAGGAAGGCTGTGCTTTGTATTGGGAGTAGAATTCCTCCGCCCGTCCCGTACAAATCCCAAATTGGTAACTCATGTTCATTAGCTGTACATTCAATAAAATCTCTGAGTTATAAACACCTTGGGAATGAAGGTTCATAACTCTGAAACATTTGTAACCCTGAAACATTTGCATATCTATGGTAATTCTTTGAAAAGAAGAACTGAATATTGACTTTGTACAGTTTCAAAGCTGTTTTATGTAAAAGAAAAATTCTGGTTTTAACTGTATCTATTTAAATGGAGCAAGCACAGAAAGTTTAAAAAAGATTTGACAAGTAAGGAAACTTTCATTTTACATATACAGTGCACAGTATGCCAGTGTAATTTATTTTCCTTACATTTTCTCTTACCTCTCTTCTCTTGTCTCTTCAAAGTGATATGTAAAACCAGTAATATTCAAAGTAGCAGAACTTTTAAACTGATGATGTTTGTGTAGATTCTTTGCCCGTCCTTACTTAAATGGCTTCTTGGCACATGATCAATGCAATTAGGGAGACACTAGTATTTACACAAATTCTGCCTATATTATTGTGTTTGAATTGTGGGAAATTCTTAAAATGATTTACTTCTGTTTTATTAATGGGAGAAATTTGGCCCCTGCATTGTTAATATGTTATGTCTTCACTCTGAATTTGTTCTTTAACTTCAATGTAAACAAAACTGAACCCAGAAAACAAAATTAGCAAAGGGGGCCTCTTTACCATTCATACCCAGCACGCATACTGCATTGTTGATTTTCCCAATACTGTATTGGGAAGAGGGAGCACTAGAATAGGAGCAATTGAACCTTAGAGCTATAGCATGCCTGTCAAGTTTTCAAAAAGGAAAGGAAGGTAATCCATCTCATTCTAAGGGGTGGTTCTTCAGTAATGGGTTTTCTTCTTCTTTGTTTGTGAAGATATTTTTTTCCAAGCTGTTTTGTTGATACATTATCTTTTGTTAAACCGCTCTAACAGATGTGCTGACATTCATTTTCTCTCTCCTTTCTAGTTCTCCTTATCCTCCCTACCATTGCCTCTTCCAGTTATACTTCTCCCTCCACTTCCTTGGTTTTCTCTCTTCCTTCCCCCTCTTTGCTTCCATGTCTCCCCTCCCATTGTTTCTTTTGAATTGGGAGCTGGAACTTGAGTTCTGCTCCCTTCAAATGAAGGGCCGTTTACAATCATTTTCAGTTAGTGCAAAGTTGGGATTTTACATGGCACACACTACCTCTGGGATATTGCTTCTTTTTGAATTCATAATTTTAGTTAAAGTTCTTGTCAGTTAGGGTAGTGCATTATCTGAGTCTTAAATAACACATTGGCTTGCTCCCTGGTTATAATGTAAGAAATGTTCGGTTACTGCACTGTGTTAATTCTGCACTTCTCAATATGCAGATCATGGTGAGCCTACTTCTGAACTTGGCATGATGTCACCACAGACAGATTCTCAGACTGTGGTGTCCAGTAGACAGCGGGAGGCTTCCGAACAACTAGATGAAAAATTCTATAGGAACCCTTGTGAGTTGTTTGTTGCTGAAGATAACAAAATAGAAACAACCGAGGACTACCTGGATGCACCCAGCAAAACATTGTCAATTAAAGAAAGGTAATTAGGTTTGTCTTTTTAAAGTGATCTCAGCATACTCATGTTTATAAGGTTATAGTGTACACAGGATCACTTTTTTGAGATCTTTTTTTTTTTTTTTTTTTTTTTTTTCGCTATGGTGAATCACAATTACCATAAATAGAGAGTATGTTAATCTAACTTTAAAAGTGCCAACCAAGTGACAACAAATGATTAAGGGACAACTTACTCTGACTGCATATTTTAGCTATGTGCTAGTGTATTTAATTTTCTCAGGTTCTGGTTTTACCAGCAGCACAGTTGCAGTAGCACATGATGACTTTTGTACTATACAATAATCATTTGCTTTTTGGTCTGGCGCAATATGTTTTAATAAGCAGAGCATTGAGAATCTAGCAGTAGAATCTGTGCATAAAAGGTGTTGGTCTTTGCTTTAGAAATGTGTACATGGTTAATTTTAATTTAGGAACTGCTGTATGAGAGAACATTTAAGCATGTATGTAGAAAAAGGTGTGTTTATAAGCTCATGTTCAAAACCATTACTTGCTCCCATGATTGCCCCCCCCCGCCCATAGTGAAACAAAAAGCCTCTGTGCTCTTAAGCCTTTCAAAAATAGTTCACTTAGGCTATGTCTAGACTGCAAGCCTCTTTCGAAAGATACTTTCGAAAGAGCCTCTTTCAAATGAGAGCGTCTAGACTGCACGCGGAACTTTCGAAAGAGCAAGCCACTTTTTCGAAAGAAAGCACCCAGTGAGTCTGGATGCTCTCTTTCGAAGAAGCCCTATTTACATTCAAGAACGCCTTCTTTCGAAAGAAGCACTTTCGAAAGAAGGCGTTCTTCCTCATGAAATGAGGTTTACCACCGTCGAAAGAAAAGCCGCGTTCTTTCGATTTAATTTCGAAAGAACGCGGCTGCAGTCTAGACGCAGGTGAAGTTTTTTCGGAAAAAGGCTACTTTTCCCGAAAAAAACCCTGAGTCTGGACACAGCCTTGGAGAACTGTATATTGGAATTTCTCTTTTGTCTCATTTCCCTCTTCATTCCGGAATGCCCAGAAGTGGGCGTACATTTAAACTGGTGAAGAATAAGGGAGCGCACACTTCTCCAAGCTGCTTTGAAACCCTCCTAGAAATGCACAGTAATGTCAGGCACATGCAGCCAAATTTGATCCTCCTAAGAAAGTGATCTCCAACCTTATTTTTTTTATTTTTGAATGTAAGAGCAATCCAGGATCTACCTCAAACCCTAATACCCTTGCTGTGCCTCCTGCCCTGTCCCTTTTCTGAGGCCCCACCCTGCTCACTCCATCCCTCCTTCCCACTCCAACCTTACTCATTGTCACCAGGTGAGGCCGGGGCACAGGGGGATGCAGGCTCTAGTCTTGGGCCGAGGGACTCGGAGTGTGGGAGGGGCTCCAGATTAAGCCAGCCACTTCCAAGAGTGGCGCAGAGCCGGGGGAGCGAGGGGAGGTGAGGGGGTGATGGCCTGCCTTAATTCCACTGCACTACTGGACTGTTAGCAGATGATCACTCAATTTGGCTACAGGAGCCTCCAGGAGATTTAAGCTTGATTCCCGCCCATGGATGGAAAAAAATTAACGGGACTGACCAATGTGCACCAATATTGAGGCCATGTGCAGATGTGAAACCAAAAACGTAGACAGAATACATATTTTTTAAAATTACCAGCCACAGCAAGGTGAGGCATTTTGGAACTCACTACTCAAATCATTACATTTAAGCATTAGAGAAATAAAAATTATGAGATGCACAGACTGGTCAAAAATCTAAAATAACACGCTTTGAAAGAAGTAACAACAAGCAAGTATTGGCTGGGTTGGGAGGTGAGCAGGAAAGACTCAGGGGCTGTGTCTACATTGGCAAGATTTTGCGTTGCTTCCATGTCTCCCCTCCCATTGTTTCTTTTGAATTGGGAGCTGGAACTTGAGTTCTGCTCCCTTCAAATGAAGGGCCGTTTACAATCATTTTCAGTTAGTGCAAAGTTGGGATTTTACATGGCACACACTACCTCTGGGATATTGCTTCTTTTTGAATTCATAATTTTAGTTAAAGTTCTTGTCAGTTAGGGTAGTGCATTATCTGAGTCTTAAATAACACATTGGCTTGCTCCCTGGTTATAATGTAAGAAATGTTCGGTTACTGCACTGTGTTAATTCTGCACTTCTCAATATGCAGATCATGGTGAGCCTACTTCTGAACTTGGCATGATGTCACCACAGACAGATTCTCAGACTGTGGTGTCCAGTAGACAGCGGGAGGCTTCCGAACAACTAGATGAAAAATTCTATAGGAACCCTTGTGAGTTGTTTGTTGCTGAAGATAACAAAATAGAAACAACCGAGGACTACCTGGATGCACCCAGCAAAACATTGTCAATTAAAGAAAGGTAATTAGGTTTGTCTTTTTAAAGTGATCTCAGCATACTCATGTTTATAAGGTTATAGTGTACACAGGATCACTTTTTTGAGTTTTTAAAGCTGTGTGCGTGCTGATGACTGGTTTCTTTACTTGCTGAACTACTAAAAGTGAAAACATGCAGCACATCTGTCTGACACTAGACTTGTAAAGCACGCTATGGTGAATCACAATTACCATAAATAGAGAGTATGTTAATCTAACTTTAAAAGTGCCAACCAAGTGACAACAAATGATTAAGGGACAACTTACTCTGACTGCATATTTTAGCTATGTGCTAGTGTATTTAATTTTCTCAGGTTCTGGTTTTACCAGCAGCACAGTTGCAGTAGCACATGATGACTTTTGTACTATACAATAATCATTTGCTTTTTGGTCTGGCGCAATATGTTTTAATAAGCAGAGCATTGAGAATCTAGCAGTAGAATCTGTGCATAAAAGGTGTTGGTCTTTGCTTTAGAAATGTGTACATGGTTAATTTTAATTTAGGAACTGCTGTATGAGAGAACATTTAAGCATGTATGTAGAAAAAGGTGTGTTTATAAGCTCATGTTCAAAACCATTACTTGCTCCCATGATTGCCCCCCCCCGCCCATAGTGAAACAAAAAGCCTCTGTGCTCTTAAGCCTTTCAAAAATAGTTCACTTAGGCTATGTCTAGACTGCAAGCCTCTTTCGAAAGATACTTTCGAAAGAGCCTCTTTCAAATGAGAGCGTCTAGACTGCACGCGGAACTTTCGAAAGAGCAAGCCACTTTTTCGAAAGAAAGCACCCAGTGAGTCTGGATGCTCTCTTTCGAAGAAGCCCTATTTACATTCAAGAACGCCTTCTTTCGAAAGAAGCACTTTCGAAAGAAGGCGTTCTTCCTCGTGAAATGAGGTTTACCGCCGTCGAAAGAAAAGCCGCGTTCTTTCGATTTAATTTCGAAAGAACGCGGCTGCAGTCTAGACGCAGGTGAAGTTTTTTCGGAAAACCTGAGTCTGGACACAGCCTTAGTTCTATCACATAGTAAAGCTGCTGGGTTTAGAAAACCATATGTCTAACTTAATTGTAGTAGCGGCGAGGAGTTCTGTGGCACCTTATAGACTAACCGAAGTGTTGGATGCATCTGACGAAGTGGGTCTTTGCCCACAAAAGCTTATGCTCCAACACTTCAGTTAGTCTATAAGGTACCACAGGACTCCTCACCGCTTTTGCAGTTTCAGACTAACATGGCTACCCCCTGATACTTAATTGTGGTAATCACTCTGGTCTTGTACAGAAAGGCTTTTTTAAGATGTGTTCAGTGTAATGTTCTCTTCCCCATTCTTTACTCTTCCCCACATGCCCCATTTCAAAGAAGTTCAAGGACTGAAGAAACAAAAATAAATATCAGATTGTTTTGGTCATGTTGAGCTACAAAAAGTCAGTAATAACATGTATCGTGCCCTACACTTTTATCTCTGAGTAGCAGCAACCTTGACCTGACTGGAGCAAAATGCACTACATGAGTTAAGCTTCCCAAATAGGCCAGTTTAGAGAGCCTCTGAAATATTAAGGAAGGCCTCATGGGCATATTTAGTAATCACAAGGCTTCTGTGTCAGATGTGAAATAGCATATATATTGTAGCCATTGTTGCATAGTCAGTGAGAGTGCCATTTGTCCCCTCTGAAATTCCTACATACATTGTTTTATCTCCAAGAACAGAGGAGTAGTTCTCACCCTGAGAGCAGTAATGAACAGGGGCATTCCTAACCTATGTGCTTCAAGAGTATCCTTGGGGGCCAATAAGAGGAATCCTCATTATACTGGGAAATGGATAATATCACACAAGTTCAGTAGTGCTCCCTTCCCTGTTCTCTCTTCTTCTGTGTAATTGTAATTATTATATATATAATAGATAACTTTTAAACTGACTAAAAAGGCATCTAGGCATCCAAGTGCACACTAAGAAGTTGGGGGTGGGGCTAACTATATAATCATCTCGTTTTTAAAACAAACATTAATTAAAAGTTTTATGACCATAACATTGTTGAAATGATGCAGAAAGCTTTCCTAGATAACGTTGAAACCTACACAGTTGGCATCTTTTTTTTCCTTTTTAGGCTGGCGCTGTTGAAGAAGCGTGGTGAAGAAAGCTGGAGAAGCAGACTTAACAAAAAGCAGGAGTATGGGAAAATGTCTGTCTCTGAGCGTAGCACACAGCTGCAAGAAGCTGAGCAGTTCTTCAAGAAGAAGGTAAAATTTTCCAGGATAGGAAAAAGTATTTCTCTTGAAACACTACTGCTTTGGACAGCATCAAACTACACAAGCATGCCTAACTTTGGCTGATAGCTACAGCTTGTAGCATTAGTCATCTTTACCTAGCTTCTGGGTTTGTATAAAGGAAAAGAAGTTTCTCTATCACAGAGCTCTTAAATGCCAAATTGCCTTGTTCACTGTCTGTCTCTGTATTTTCAGCGTTGGGAAGAGTATATTTTTATCAGTACATTACCAAAAAGTAAGTGGTCTTGTAGGGGTTCGTCTACACAGCAGCATTATTTCGGAATAACTAACGTTATTCCAAAATAATGAAGAGCATGTCTACACTACAAGCCTTTATTTTGAAATAATGTTGAGCTGGGGGACGACTTACTCCAACTCATGGTAACCTTCGTTTCACGAGGAATAAGGGAAGTCGAAACAGAGTGTTCTTCCTTCGACTTCCTGCTGTGGAGACAGCACCTAGAGCCAAGTTAAGCTATTTCGACTTAAGCTATGCTATCAATGTAGCTGAAGTTGTATAGCTTAATTTGACTTTAGCCCTGCTGTGTAGATGTACCCTAAGATTTTAGGGAGAGTTAAATATTTTTTTAAATGTTTGGATTTCTCATGGTCACAAAAGCAAGAACAGATTTCAGTTTAACAACTGTTTAACTTATCTGAATCTTTCTCGCTGTTTTAATATGAAATGGTTTGAAGATATTAAATTCTAATCTTTGGTATTTTGCAGTCTTCATACACACAAACATTTTCAGTAGTTTTGAGGGAACCAAGAGTTAGTTGTTAAGGTGTAAATATTAGAATACTTATCAATTGCTTCTGTTTTTTAGTATTTTATACAGTCCTGGCTGTCAGTGAGTAGCCAGAGCCACTAGAAACCTCCAGACTTGTGATTAGTCTTGTTTATAATACATTCTGTGCTAGAAAGGACAAAAATCTTTGTCTCATTAGTTAATAATATAAATGGTATTTTTTTTATTAAATATTCAGTGTAGGTTCCCAGCCAATAGTGGAATACAAGTCCTGTTCCCATCAGTATACATGTAGGCTTGATGATCAATCTGTCCTTACTGACATAACGTTGTTGTTGTGGTCTTTAAATCTGAGTACCTGAATCATAAGTGAATGTGTCTGAAACATCTGTGACCCGCTCAATAAGACTAAGAAAAGAATACTTAGTGGCTATATTTTTGCCTTGTAGACTGTTTTTAAAACATGCAGTGCTTTGCATGGTTGGTAAATCAAACTTGATTTGGGAGAACAAAACTGGAAGTTCACAGTATAACAGTTCAGACTTCAAAATCCAGTTGTTAAGGTAACATTCTCCAGCTGAAAGCAACTTAAGAGAATCACCAAAGAACTAAAGGTAGACAACCTAGTGTAAATCCAAAAACAACATTGTTGCAGATGGCTCCCCAGCAGCTATCAATGAGCTTATCATTCTCCATCGAGGGGTTTCCTTGTGAGTGCTCCACACAGGTCTAGGTGCATTCTCACGCCGGCGATCAGAGATTTTTGCCTAGCAGTGGCTTCCCACGCTGCACATGTGCAGTCGCTGCCTCATGCTGTTTTCATACATTGGCTACACATGCAGCGTGGGTCCTCCTCACTTCCTTTTCTACCATCCTTGGCAGAAGATGGAGTCTCAGTAGTGCTCTCTTCTCCAACTGGAAAAATAAAAATAGTGTAGTTAGTTTATAGTTCATTAGAAGTTTTAATCAGTTTACAATTAATGTTCATTAGTTCTTGTTAATTGGAAAAAAACAAACAAACCGCTTCCCCAGTTTTTCTTTTTAGTTCCTGCAAGTTTTTAAACTCTAAAAGTTCTTCTCAAAATGCCAGTGTCTACTGGGGTTAAAAAATGTGATACGTGTAGAGACTTGATGCCTGCATCTGACAAGCATAGTTCCTGCATAAAGTGTCTTGGCGAAGGCCATGTGCCGTAGAAATTCCCACACTGCCAGAACATGATGGCCAGAGCCAGGAAGGACCATAAAATGAGACTTGACTTAACCTCCTATGAGAGAAATCCCTTCAACCACCAGAGGCTTAGTCCACCAACCCCCAGAGCCACTAACTCCACCTAAGAGGGCTAATTCATCACCCTCAAGGGTCTCGCGTACATCTCAGGCCTCTCCAGCATGGTCTTTGTCATTCATGTCTCATGTCACCTGTTCGCCGGTGCCGTCTACTTCCAGCACTGCAGAGAAGCAGAAAACGGCACTTACAAAGAGAGCAGAGTTGGAGCCGAAAAGGAAGACTAGCTCTTCAACACAGACTGGTGCCGTTCCTCGATTGGCACTGACAAAATCTGACATGCCTCCACCCCGACTCTAATGGATATCTCCGCACTGAGCCAACATTCCGGTTCCCACCCGTCAGAAACTAAGCATGCTCAGGCACCAGAGCTGAAGAAGGCTTCTCATAAAACAGCAGACACGCAGCACTGAGTGCCGCAGCCACACACACGGTCTCCACCAGTGCCAAGTGCATCTTCACCTCTGCATTCTCTGAGAATCCGACAACCTAGTCCACACCAACAATATTCAGAACATTTCTTATTTGCCTACTCCCTTGTCACTGGGCACCGTATATGGCACCAGACAGGAGAGCAGGTTCTCCTCACAACACTCCTCACTGACAGGCTCAGTGACTTTGTGGTGTTCCACTCAGCACCGACCAACACACCACCCTCCACAGTACATGTGCATTAATCACCCTTGGCCTTATCCACCACGGCAGTTCCAATCCCAATGGCCCCCTTGGGAGCCCTTCAACCAATCTGTTGCTTGAACTGTCATCGTTCACGTGAGACAGTGACATCCACACCAGCACATATGGTAACCTCCTTGCCGGAATACTTTTCCATCACCCAGATCCATCCGTGGTGATCTCAACCAACGCATCTCTACTAGGTTGGGGTGCCCACTGTGACAAGCAGAGAGTCCAAGGCAGATGGTCATGATCCGAGATGTGAGATCCCTCTTACCCTCCCCACCCCCATTTGCTGCCTCTATCTGATAGAGGCAGCAGGGAGGGGAGAGGGGGAAATCAGCTAGTTGACGGAGTATCGAATAGTCGACTACTCCTTACCATCCTTAGTATATACCCTGCCGACAGAACACCACTGCAGACAAACTGAGCAGACGCTTCTTGGAACAGTCCAAGTGGCAGTTCAGACTCTATATCACCCTCCCAGTCTTCCGGCAATGGGATTTCCCATTCCTAAACTTATTTGCGACTGCATCCAACAGCAAATGCCGCCGCCGCCGCCGCCGAGGAGGTCAGGGCAAAAGTTCAGAGAGAGATGCTGTCACCAAACCCTGGACTGCTCCCCTTCTATATGCCTTTCCAACGACTCCACTGCTTTCCAGGATGTTCAAGATTGGCAAGGACCAAGCCACAGTAATTTTAATAGTTCCCCATTGGCCAAGACAACCGTGGTTTCCCTACCTGCATTATCTATCGATTGCTCACTTGATTTCCCTCTCCATTGGATCTCAATTGCTGACCCAACATCAGTAAAACTCTCCATCCTAACCTGAGGGCTCTCAAATGCCCAGCGCAGCTTCTTCATAGTTCCAAAATGAAGAACTTACCTGTCCCAACAGAGTGAATCAGATCCTCCTGAATAGGTGGTGCTCCTCTGTGAGAATACCTACCAAAACAAATGGGGACGATTTCAGGAGTGATGCAGCCAATGTCAATTGCGACCAAATACAGTTCTGATACTTACCGTACTTGAATACCTGATGGACCTTAGTGTCGCAGGCCTCTCCATCAGCTCCCTTCGCGTCCATCTGTCCTCCATCACAGTTTTTCACAAACCAGTGGACAACCTTTTGCTCTTCCATATTTCATCATGAAGCGCTTCTTAGTGGGTTTGTGAAAGACATGCCTAAATTTATTTGCCCACCTAGTTTCCTAAACTCCTTAGCTTCCTGAGAGAAGCAATGCTACATACTCTGGACACGAGACAAGCCCTTGCATCCTACATATATAGGACCAAGGAATTTAGGAAATCAGACAAATTTCTGTCTGTTCCCCACAGGGGGATATCTGTCTCCATGCAACGTATCTCCAAGTGAAGAGCCAATTGCATATACACTGTCTTCGGAGGAGGAAACCACCTCAGACTATCACCGCACTTTCCACTTGTGCGATGGCCACATCAACTGCTTTCCTGCATAATGTACCTCTCGCCAATATCTGTAGAGTAGCGACATGATCTTCACATCACACCTTCACACAACACTATGCTCTGCAGCAGGGACCTTAGCTAACACCACGTTAGCAGATTCAGTCCTTGCCTCTTCTCACAACTGACTCCAAGACCCACCACCACGAGCAGTGGGTACTGCTAGCTAGTCACTTTAGTGGAGCACCCACAGAGACGCCACTTGAAGGAGAAGTTACTTACCTTGTGCAGTGACAATGGTACTTGGAGATGTATGTGTCCCTGTGGGTGCTCCCCTACCTTCTTGTCCTCCCTGCTACTTGGAGTGTGTTAAAGGATTTCCATTAGAAAAGGAACAGGGGGACCCGCACCACGCAGCCAACAGATGGCGACCATGCATGTGTGACACGGAAGGTAAAAATCTAGGTAAAAATCTCCAATCACCGGCATGAAGACGCACCAAGACCTGAGTGGAGCTCTGGATACGCATCTCGAAGAACCATCATTACTGCACAAAGTGAGTAACTTCTTCCTAATGCTAGTACCTGACTTAGTTCAACATCATGACAAAATAATTATGAAGTGCCTTCTAGTGTCTTTGGACCAGAATGTGATCATATTAGCAACTTGAGTGTTCTGGAGTTGTGCAGTATTAGTATCAAAATAGGTAGGAGCTATGTTGAAGGTTTATCAAGCTACCGATGAAACCTGTGCCTAGCTGAATGAAGACAGTACAAAAATCTGACTTTGTGGCAGTTTTTCTTGTACTGCAATGTTTGATAATTCCCAAAACAGAACTGACATCAGTGATGCTTGTGCACAAAGCAATTTAAAGCTTCATTGAAAGTAGTTTGTGTTTCTAAAGGTGTTACAAATCCCTAGAATACGGTCTGTCTTTTGAAAGTTTTTTTTTTTTTTTAAATAACTTTCAGCTTTAGTGTCTTTGGTTAGAATCTACTGTAAATGTTGTTAACTGGCTTGGAATTCAAAATAGCTGTGTGGAAATTATTTACTATCCTGATTCAGAATGACCATGAGATGATGATCCTTTTTAGAAAATATCTGTGTATTAGATACTCCTGGGTATTTAAAAAGTGTACAATCTATATTATTGGATTTGCAGGAGTTGTATTGACTGCTAAGCTTTGAACTAGTAAAGAATATAGACTTTGCATTCTAGAATCCTGTCTCAAGAGCAGGGAATAAGTTACATTAATGGCACTTGCTTGTTCTTATCCAAAATATGGCATGGATTTTCCAAATGCTACTAATTTGTCCATCTTTACTGATTAACATGCTTGTATGCAGTATTAAAGAGCATGTGGCCACTTATTAACCTTGCTTTAGAGCGCTTGTTTATTGTTGCATGCTTATAAGCATGTAAGTTGTTGAGTTTGTCAAAAGCCTTTTTTAAAAATAAACCATGTGTAGGAAGTAAATTCAAAATCCTCAAATTAGAATGCATACAGTAACTCTGTACAGTTAATGTTTTAGTCAAAATGCATTAATTTTCAATAGGCAGTTAGTTGCCTAAAGATGACATCTTTACAATACTCCAGAAATTGTTCTTTATAAATGTACCGGTAATTTGTGTAGTTTAAAACTTCGAAGAGTTGTTCAGTTCCAGAAGAACTTGCCCCCATATCCACAGACGAAAGAATAATCTACTGATAAAATAATGGGGTGCATCATAAACTCTGGAGACATTGAGGTTTACAAGAACAAAACTAAACTTTATGATGATTCATTTTCAAACAGTGTATTCTGTATATGTTTGTTTTGAAATTTGGTATGAGGATTTTTAGTTTCATGTGTACAGTGGAGCCTAGTCATACAATTTATAGAAGGCCTGCAGAGTTTTCAGCCAGATAAAAAGATGAAGTGCCTTGATATATGAAATTCTTGGAGCTACAATAGATTGGATTCAGTCTGATGTGCTCGCTCGTCACAAAGGGCAGTGGTCACCAACCAGTAGACAGGAATCTACTGGTAGATCTTGGAACCTTTGACATGTGATCCTGAGAGGTTTGGCCATGAGGTTGTCAAGTGCAGCACTGCATCTGCCCCTCTTAGCCCTGCCATGCTGCTCCAGCACTCTACCTGGGTGATGCCCCTCACCCCTGTGAGCCTCCTGCTTGCTGTGCAGGGCATGGGAAGAAGAGGAAGGGGGGTGCTGATGTCAGGGTTCCCCTCCCTCCACCCTGTACCCCATCTCCACAGAGCAGAGGTGGGCAGGGATGGAGAGAGTTTGCTGGCTGCTTTTGGGAGTGATGCAGGGCCAGTGAAGAGGTGAGCCTGCCTTAGCCTCCTGCACCACCACCCAGAAGCTACCTATGGTAAGTGGTGCCCAGCTGAAGCCTGTATTCTTCTCTCCTGCACCGTGAATCCCTGCCCCCAGCCTTATAAAAATGAGTGAGGATGGGGGAGGGAGGATGGAGTGAGCAGGGGCGGGGCACAAAGGAGGCGGGGCAAGAGTGTTTGGGTTTGAGGTAAATCCTGGATTGCGCTTAAATTCAAAAAGTGATCTCCTACTTTAAAAGGTTGGAGACCACTGACCACAGGGTAATCAGTCATCAGTCTTCTGGGGTGGGTTTGGTGGGTTCCCATGAAAAATAATGCAAATGTGAAACCTTTTCTAGCATCAAAAACACAGAATTTTATTGGAATGAACATTCCTATGTCCTAGCCATTTTAAGTCAAAAACTATTTAGAATTCTAGATTAATGTGTGATTTCCACCTCCTCCCATCCTGCACTTCTGCTTTGCAACAGTAGTTTTTAAAAGAGTGAATCAAGTTTGAAATATTTCATTCCTGAAAATGTATACTGTACTCTGTTACATTGCTAAAAGCATGTGTGTACTGTTGTCATGATTCAGAATTACTCTGAGGACGACACTTATACAACCATGGTGGGGGTAAGCTCCTTTAAAAAAAAACAATCTAACACAAAAGTGTACCTCTAGACAAATAATATGTCTCTTTTTTTGTGATAAGAATGAAAGTTGTATCTCCTGGGTGTGCATGCACACAGTTCTAATTGAACCTGAAGCACTAGTCACTGGAATGTGAGCTGCTCTCTAATGAACTGCACGTTTCCAATGTTCTGTGCAATGTTTCCTGTTTGTTTTAACCTGTAGGAAGAAGGAAGAATGACAGATGATAATGACGTGTCTAATCAGCTTTGGGTAAGCCTCACTGTGCTGTTAGGGGTTATTCCAGGCTTTGGCTAGACTAGTGAAATCACTTTTGTTGGGTGCAGTGTGTTTGTATTCCCTTCCAGGCCTTTCTCCAATTTGTATTCAAGTATTAGAAAATATTGTTTCATTTTATCTGAAAGATACACGGTTCCTTATTCCAGTAAGGGCTGAGGTCACATCCAGTGGTAACATCCATGTTGAGACACACGCTTCAGTCATTTAATGACTCATGAAAGCAGACACCATTAAAAGCATCTGTGTGTGAAAAGTGTTTCTCTGATGTGAAACTGAGCTGCACGAATAAAACTGCCATGATAGTGTGTCTAATTAATTTAATTACTGCATGAAATGGCTGCGGTAAACATGCTGTTGTGACATTTTTTTTTCTTGCACTGACTTTTCAGTAGGGAAAACGTTTCTAAAAGATTAAGGCTGAAATGGCAATAAGTAAACTCCTTTTTAAAAAAGAATCACTTGATTTTTCCTCCATTGTCTGAAAAATAATTTCTGGCCCCCCTCTAATTCTCTTGCTGTGCTTCTGCCCCTACCATAGGAACCTGTCTATGCTTCTACTTATTCCCCTGCCATACCTGTTGCCCATACATTTCATCCTTTTGTACCTATTCATCAGGTGAGCAAAAGCTTGCACACTTCTTCATGCTTGTTGAAATTCCTGATCACTTATAGAGCATTTAGTTATGTGGGAGACTACTATATATTCTGCCTAGTAAATAGTACTCTGAAAAAAGTACCTTTAGAAGTACAGTACCTATATTACGTATTTTCCACCAACATAAATTCTATTAGTATTTTTATTAAACTACATCTCTAAAAATTGTGATTAGAGATAATAAACTAAATCAGGCTAACTATAATCTGACCAAGGACGTTACTCTGTTCATTTACAGTACAGTAAAACTCCAATTGTCCGGCATCCAGTGGTCCTGCACCAACTGGAACCCGGAAGTGCTCCGGCCAGCCAGACAGTTGGAGCTGCTCCACGCCGCTTCCTCAAGTCCACTTCTGCCACTGCTGAAGCTGACCAGCTGCGGACCTGGGGAAGAGGTGTGGAACGGAGCAGCTGGGATACTGCCGGATTGGTCCTGCAGCGCTGCTCAGGTGAGGGACGGCACTGCGGGACCAACCCAACAGCACCCCAGCTGCTCTGCCCCAGGGCTTCCCCAGGTTCCCCACTGGTCAGCACCTGGTTCTCCCCATGCTGCGCCGTTCCCTGCCCAGCCCCCCCACCCCCTCCCAGACCTGTCACAGCCCCCCCTGCCGGAGTACCTCCTGATACTCTGGCATATCCGATAATCCAGTACCCGCTGGATCCCAAAGGTGCCGGATTATCAGAAGTCTGCTGTACTATGAATTAGTAGAAACTAAATAGAGTTATGAATGGAGTAGTTCCTAAATGCTAAGCATTTTGCTTTCCCCAATAGTTGCAGTGCATCCCATGTCTCTTTGAATTAAATTTCTACAAAAAATGTGTAGTATTAAAAAAAAAAAAACAAAAAAAAAAACCTGATCACGTTTCAGTTTATTAAATGAACAAAGTGGTGTGTTGTAGATGGTTTTTATTTCATGCTCTAGTTTCCTCCAGAGGTATTTTTCCTACATTACATTCACTATTTTGTTCTAAAAGATTTTAAGGCTGGCACATCCTGCTTCTTTTTGCTGCCTCTTTTGTCTTTCCTCACCCTTTTGTTTCTCTTCTTTTAAGGTCAATAGTTCTAGTTTGAAAGAATCAAGCCCCCTGGTCTTTGATGAACGGCATCCTTGGAGATGGAAGGTGAAATATTCATAAACTTCCTGTTTTAGTTGAAGGAGTTACAGTCAACAAAATGGTTTTAAGACCCATTCCCAAAGCAAATTAACCAATGGATACTTTGCTTGGTAACTAACAGCTCCCTTTTGCTGTTCTAGTAAATGGTAACAGTGCATTAGGTGACTGGACTTGACATTATGATTCTGATACTGCATTGCAAAATACATCCATATATTCCATGTGCATATTCTAAATAAGCTTCAATGAGCTACTTTAAAAGCAGTGAATAGTTAATGAAGGTTTGTAAAATAATTCACTTTCAGTTTCTTATGTAACCAGCTTAGTACAGCAGTCAGAGTGAGCAGAGCTGGAACACCAGAAAATGTGGTGAGGAGAGAGGGACTGATCTTATGAAATAGTTAGTCTGAAAGAAAGTGAAGGAAGAAGTAAGAACAGTTAATTTGAAGGTTGAGCATATAGGGCAGCTTGGCTCTTATTTTATGTTATAACCCTTAGGGCAAGATTAACTCTTCTGTGGCCATTAGATTTTGTGGGGGCCCCTAGGCTCCAAGGGGGGTCCAAACATGAGGGGCTCAGTGTTGAGGAGAGGGCTATGGGTTATGATAGGTGTGAGGGCTCCAGTTGGGGTTTGCAGGTTTGGGATGAGGCATTTGGAGTGCGGGAGGGGGCCCAGGCTTGGGCCAAAGGGTTTGGAGTGCGGGAGCAGGCTCGGGGCAGGAGGCAGCTCAGGTCTAGGGTGCATGGTCTGGGGAGGAGGGAGGGTGCAGGAGACGACTCAGGGCTGGGGCTGTGGGGTCTGGAAGGGAGTTAGGTTATGAGGGGGCAGAGCTAGGAGTTGGTCTGTGGAGTCTGAGCAGGAGCTCGGGTGCAGGAGAAGGCTCAGGGATGAGGCAGGGGATTGCAGTGAGGTGGAGAAATGGCTGCAGTGGGGTTTGGGGGGAAGAATGGAATGGTGCAGAGCTGCCACTTCTTCTTCCCCCGGAAAGGCTAGTGTGGCAGCAGCTCAGGGCCCCGGACTGAGGAAACCACCTTTAGTCTGGGGTCCTGGGCTACAGCCCCAGAAGCCCCTTTTTTTAATCTGACTCTGAGCACCCAGTCCTTGGCCTCCCAACACAGATCTACTTTTGCAGCATTATAGGAAAATCTTTGGACTTTTCTCCAGATTAGATACTGAGGATGTAAAATCCCATGTAATTGGTTAAATGTAGTGTTAACTAGTTAACCGATTAAAAGGTGGGCAGGGTTCCTGTGTGGGGGGACTGGGGGACTGTTTTAGCCAAGGGGTCCAGGCAGGAAGGGTTCTCTCAGCCCCACAGAGGGCTGCCAGCTCCCGGCCCTGTGCAGGGCTGCTGCTGAGTCTGCTCCCAGGTACTAGTTAACTGTTATCCTGTAAGCATCGCCCATTCAGGATGATGCTTATCAAGTAACTGGTCAACCGGTTACCTGTTCACATGCCTGTTGTATACTAGTTGCAGCATGTGTTGTGATGGTCATACCTTAAAATACAAGGTTGTAATATGGCTACATGTGTTTGTCTAAGATACATACTGCTGATAGAATGAACAAAAGAGAAACTGTTCATGTACTTCTGGAGTTTCTAAATAAAGCTTTGCTGTGACCAGGACCCCACACCTTTTTTTATGTACTTTTCAAAGTTATTAGTATCAATCAAGTTTTGTCTGTACCAATAGTTATGTGGAATAAAATCTCTAATTTGGGGCCTTCAGTTCACATTTGCTAAAACTAGTTTTGTGAAGATACTAAATTCCTAGGTGAAAGAAAAGGGCATCTAGTAAGGCAATAGATGTATTTTGCTGTAATTCTGTATTGGATTAGTAATATCAGATTCTCAAGGTACAAACAAACTTTTTTACCTGAAGGGCAGTCTGCATGCTGTCTGCACAAACCATTAATAATTTCAAGTAGCAAACAATCTAATAAAATTGTCTTGTGTTCACTGACCATCTGTGAAAAGGAAAAGGGGCTTATGTGACTATAAAGTCATGTAGGAAACAAAAATTGTAATTCCTACCCATCACCCTCCAATTCTTAAATTCATTGCCTTTCTCTCATGCTCTACATCTTTTGGAAGCTCTGTTTTTGCTGTTCTCTGCTTTACGAGCTAACTTAGCACCTTTTTGTCTACTCTGCAAAATTCGCAGCATATAATTGAAAGGAAGTTCTAGTTCTTCTGAAAACCACATGTTTTGATGTTGCATGCATCTTCATTCAGCTTTTTCCTTTCAACCAAAGACAATCCTAGTGGTTGCTGTCCTTTAACTATCTCTTATTTTTTATCTCTTGCATTCAAATATAACATACAGCCTATTACCTTGGGTTATGATCCCATTAGGCAAGGGGTGGATATGATGTAGATTCAGTGGAGCCAACAGTCTCTTGGGGCATTGGGACAAAGTGGAGAAGGGGAGCTCTGTGTTCCAGATATGATGAGGCCAGAGCAGCCAGCCCTGATCACTTCCCAGACTGCGGTGCACCTCCTCCCTTAGCCCTCAGAGTTGCCCAGAGCTCTGGAGCACCATGTGGTGCTCTGGCAGTGATTTAAAAGGCCGGAGGCTCTGGACACCACTGCTTCTCAGGAGCAGCGGCAGCAACTGGGAACTCCAGACACTTTTGAATCGCAGGACCCCGGGGCAGTTGCTTCATTTATACTCTCCCACCCTTCTGTCAGTGGGCCTGTGCGGATGAGAAAAATCCAGAATAGCAGGGAGTGGTGCATTTAGTAGGCTATAAGCCCTTCTTCCCTTTGAACTGGGACTGAACAGATGTCCAGACACATGTTCTGAAGCTGTACTGCTATAGATTTTAAATTCAGAAGGGATCATCATCATAATCACTACTCTAGCCTCCTGCATTACGCAGTGGTTAAGCCTCACTTAGACGTTCCTGCATCGCCTGTAGCTGGTGTTTTCAGCGAGAGCCTATCTTTAGGAGTCTCTGTAGTCTTGATTTAAAGGTTTAGTATGATAGGAATGCGGTGGGTTTTCTAGGTAGCTGTTCCAATAGTTAACTGCCTTTGCTGTTAACATTTTTACTGTATTTTTTTTTAATCTGAATTTGCCGAGTTTCAGCATCAACCATTGGGTCTATTATACAAATTATCTTTATCGGGCAAACTTGCGATCTTGTAAAAAGTCAATTTAAAATATTTAACAATAGGTGGTATTAAACATCCCTTGTTACTGATGAAACAGAAATTATTTCATTGTTGTTAGATTTGAACACTCACTACTGCTTTTTAATACAGAACAGAACTATTTATTGAATATTTGTCCCCTTCTGCCTCCTGATGGATAATTTTATTATCCTCATTCTGTGGGATCTGTACCATTACTAGAATTTAATTTTGTTCCAGGTATATTTTAAATACTGTCTTATTGTTTTTAACCCTACTAGCTGAAGACTTTTCACTGATAGCTTACCTAATCTGTATTTCCTGAATACTGATTTCTATTCATTGCTATAAGCTTCCCATTTTCCCTGTTTGTGAGACATTTTTAATTTTCTGTTATTATCTTCATCTCCCATGTTCACCAGGATGCTTTTAACCAAAGAAATCACATTCTGTGCCTGAAATTATCTTATTTGGACCTCTAAAGGACATTAATTCCCATATTAAGATTCACGTTGTTTAAATATTTCCTCCTTCTCATTTTTGTTTGTCATAGTTTTCAACTTTGGTAAACTGGCTTTTTATGAGTATATATTACTGGTTGATATTATATTCTATTTGCACGTAGTGTATAAAAGTAGATCATGATCTCTTGCCTGGGTGTAACAAACACTTTTTAGTTCATTGATCAATTCACCTTTCTCCATCATAATGACGTGTAATATGGAATTATTCCCAAATTGGTTACAATACTTCCTGTTAGAAAATACCATCTTGCAATTTGTCCGTACGCTGATCCATACCCTTTCCTGTTTCTGCCCTTCTGAATTTTCAGTGGCCATGAAGCACAGGTGCTGTCTGTCAGCCAAAATTTAAAACTAAACCATGGGGATATTTTCCCAAAAAGCCACATGATTTTTTCCACATAAATAGAACTGTGTTAATGCCTGTGTTCTTGTAAAATGACAGCTTCAGTAGACACTTTGCATATAAAATCCTCCTTGTGGTTTCAGTAGGATCAATAATCATTTCTTGTCCATATCTCCTATGTCATGGTGCTGTTATCTAGGTAACCAACATTTCCTGGCTGTGTTTCCTGTGAGGAATGAAATGTTTTTTTTACTGTTTGTAAAGTATTCTGGTGTCCTGGATGAAAAGCACTATGTAAATGTAAGGTCCTTGTCATTACTTGATGATGGTTAAACTGACAGCATCCAGACAGACTCCAGACCATAGGACAAATCCATCCTCTGAGGCCTTCCCAAGCAGCCTCTCCCACAACAGCAACTGCCTAGAACACAGCATTTGAACCCTCAGTGAAGTGATACTCTGTGGCACAATCAAAGTGTGCAGACAAAATGACATCCTCCCTGAAATGTGACTTTGCAAGCATTGTCCATAATAGGTTGTGCCATGCACAGGATGCAGTGTTGTAGAGCCAGTTCTCCTCCAGCAAAAGCAGTAAAGACAACCCTTCAGTACAGCAGCAGGGGGTGAAGGAAAGTAGCTGGCAAGCTGCAGCAGCAGGAGAACAAAGGTCGCCCTTACTCCAATACCCACACCTAGACTCCTGTCTCCTGTAGCACACCAGTCTGAGAGGGAAGACTCATCAGTTTCTCTCAAGTGCAGAGCTCAGTAACTGCAAAGTCTTGAAAGCAGTAAGAGAAAAGTTCATGCAGAGAACAGAGCATTTCAAGGTAAATGGGAAGATTACTTACTCGTTGAAAGTAATAGACCACCATAATACTATGTGCACTTGAAAATTATAGCTATGTTGAGAAGTGTAATATCAGTTGACATTGCAACACACTTCAGAAGACTAAATGCAAGAAGAACCCTAGAGAGTCACTTCTTACTCTAGTTGAGAATATGAAAAGCAAACTTCAGAAGCAGAAAAACATACGGATGGAACTTGCAGCTGTGCCTACTGCAAGTCTGGCTGCATTTTAAGAAGTGTCCCTTGAGCTAGTGGAAATATAAAAAGCCTTTTGGAGATGGAGATGTGATACGAATGTATGCTATCAGGCTGGCTCATCCTTTTGGGGATAGAAAAATGGCAAAGAACTTTGAAAGTACTTCATTGCCTCTCCTAGCTACAGCTGGCTGAATGAAGTGACGTGAACCGATGTTGCCTCAAAATTGAAGAGAGTGGGTGAAAAATATAAGTGGTTTTCATTCCATTAACTCTAGACAAGAGGGCTAATGGTGGTGATATCAGACAATTGCTTTTCATCTGAAATACTAACGAGGATTTCTTCATGCCTGAGTAGTTACTGGAGCTAGTTCCACTCAAGTGCAATAGAAAGGAGGAAGGTATTTACAGGGCACTTGCTTCTTCTATGAGCAAATACGGTGGCTTCCAGCAGTGGTGCTACTTCAGCACAGATAGTCCATAAGCACAGACTGGTAGTGAAAGTGGATTAATAGGTTTGGAGTTGAAAATGGAGGCAGTTTACAAGAAATCTGTTATACTGGTAGGGGAGCCGGCAGCCTCGCCAGGCCCCTGGGCAAGGTGAGGAGACCCAGCTCTGTGCTCCCAGAAGGGCTGGGGTCTTGGGAAGAAGGCATGGCCCCCGCCCTCAGTGCTGCCGGGAGCATGCTGTGCAGTGCACCAGCAGCAATTTAAAGGGCCCGGAGCCCTGGGCTCTTTTGAATCACCGAGGATCAGGGCCGTTGGCCCCTCCTCTGCTCTCTCCAGTGGCCAGGCCTGTACACTACTCATCGCACCTCTTATTTTAATGCAAACAGTCCAACATTATCCATGGAGGAAACTGAGCACAGAGACCCAGAATTCCTATCCACTTCCTTGAAGGGTTGGTTGCGGAAGTGTAGGTTTTGCATCTCCAGTCACAAGTTCAAGGGTGGACAGAACCTTAACTGTTTTTTCACTCAGAAAGGAGATTCTTGCTGCTCTGAAAGAAGAGAAAATAAGCAATGTCGCCCAATGTCAAAAGCAGCTGGAAAGCTTAACATTTCCCATCTTAATTCACTCAGTCTGCTAGGTAGAGATCAGAATATTTCTGTACCTTTTATGAGCCATGTTGATGCATTCCTCAGTAAATTTGGACTCTTCCAAATAATTTTCCATTATGCAGGGATCTTTCAATTGAGGCTGTTGCTGGTTTTGGCAGCTTCTTAAAAATTATATTGGCTATCTCAGCTTAGTTCAGCCCTAGACTTTCTGATTTCGAGATCTATCATTCAACTATTAATCAATCCAGTGGCGGTACCATTGGATCAGCAACCATATGATCATTGCTGTTCACACTGCTCTAACTAGATTTATCCTAGTTTTCTTTCAAAGAAAAATGGAATGTGTGAAAATATCTAGAAACTTGGCCTTAGTTCACAGGCTTCTTGTGCTGAAGCTCTGTTCAGCATTGGACAGTGCATACATGTGCAAAAGCACATTCTCGGTCATAAAATGACATGTGAAGTCAAAACATTGCAAGCTAGAGAGTGACATCCTGCCACTGTTTCTGATTTGCCACTATGAATATTGATCCTGACATTGAAACGGTAGTGCAAGGGAGAAAACATTCTTCAGTGTTCTTACTGAGATGTCTATTGGAGAATAGCACTAATGTTAATATTTTTTGATGGCTCAAATAAATCCCAATCTTAATAAAAATCTGATTCTAGAATCAGATAATCTGGAATTATATTTTTGAATGTGACCCACCAGCGTTCTCCAAAACTAAAATCTGCCCCACAGCATTGAAAAGGTTGGACCATACTCTGGATATTTTATCTGAGTTCCCATGTATCTTGTTGTTCAAATGTCTGGCTGTGCTGCCAGTTAACACGTCTATTGAATTCAAGACAAACGTAATTGTATGGAGGGCTGTGGAGGGGAAACAGAGAGAGAAAGGATGGGGAGGGAGATTCCAGTCCTTGTGTTGGGTGCTCCTTACTCTACAATTCTTCTTGTTACTGGGGGATAATTCATTCTTTTCAGATACATTTTTATTTACAAGAGATTCCTTCCCTGTCTACTTGCCTCTATGGTCATGCTCCTGGTCCCTTAAAAGTATTGAACTCTCTTTAATTCATTCAGTATTGTCAACTCAAGCATTCAAAAAAGGAGTCAGTCTCTTTAAAAAACAATTTATATTAAAAAAGAAACTTTTTTAAAAATTGTCTTGCTGGTTTCAGAGCCTGTAAAGAGCATTAATTTCATGATTTTCAGGCTTTTCTCTGTAATTGTGAAGGCTAGGGAAAAATTAAATGAAAGCTGATGTTCTCATGCCATTGAGTACAGCAGCTGGGTTTCTAAGCACCAAATAACACAAGAGTTGTAATAAAATTGATAGTTGGCGATGCTGTTCTTTGGTGTGTCTTGTTATGATTTCTGTGCAACACAAATACAAAAAATGTTAGCTTTGTTTTAAGGTAATTGATTTGTAGAAACTGGCCTGATTCTCTGATCTGACTCAGCTAGGAGGAGAGAGAGATTGATGGTGTCACTTTTCCTACTTAATGTATCTTGTTCCCCAATCTCCTGTGTGATCAAAAGGTATTTGATCACAACTACTGGAGAAATTATTCAAAAGAACAAGGTGACACAGATCCGAAAGTGATCAGACTCTAGAGACCAGGCTGCTAAGCCAACTTGGAAAATTTACAGCTAGACACTGAATTAAAAATGATTCAAGTCAGAGATTAAAACTTCTATGTAGGAATTCATATTTGGAAGCTTCTCACAGAAAATCAAACAGATTAACAGGAAATAGAAAATTTAAACCACCTAAAATATTAACATTATTGATCAATTTGTTTATTTTTATTAAAGCTCAGCTAATTGTCTTGCAGTGAGTGAATCCTGGCAATTTCCTGAACCAAGATATGCCATTGACTGAAATTTCATCTTATTGCTGTAATAGGGTAGCAAAGCAATAAAGATGTTTAAAGAGTAGGTTCCCTAGCTGTAGCATCCCTGGATGTCCCTTAGTAACATGTATCCCTATTCTTTCAATGGTTAAAATGTTTCTCCTGTTCATTGCAACTTATAGCAGAGTTTATATTAATTAATCTATTTCTTCATTTCTCAAAAAAGCAGAAAATGGCAGATAGCCATGAGAGTCAAATGACTATTGAAGAAAGAAAACACCTGATTACTGTTCGGGAAGAAGCCTGGAAGACAAAGGGTAAAGGAGCAGCCAATGACTCTAGCCAGTTCACTGTTGCTGGACGAATGGTAAAAAAAGGTCTGTAAAGAAATCATCCACATATAAATAAGTCATTGCTTCTCTATCTGGTCAAAATACAGGGCTAATGCTAAACAAAAACAATATTTGTGTTTTGCAAGAGGACTGTTTATCATCAGCCTAATGTCATTGTGCAGTTGGTTGCAAGTTCCAGGGGGTGTTTCCATTGGTCATTTTGTCCTTCATTGTTTACAGTTACATCAAGTTACTATTAAGCTCGATAGTAAATTGTTTGTATGCTCCTGCTGATGTTCAGTTTTTTGTCTCCAGTCCAACCCAGAGGGCATGACTGGATTTCCCTTTACTACAGAACTCCCATTTGACAAACAAAGCCCTGAGAGATTTAGCTGTTGACCTGTAACTGATTTCTGTTTGCAAAAATGTCTCAGAATATGGAGCAGATGTACATTTTCTTGTTTAAAGAATTTCATTTAGAGAATGAAAATGTTTGACCTGCAAGGAAACACTTGGTTTTGTTATGTAAAAGCAAAGGAGAGCTTTGAACCTGGCATTCCTATGTTGTGGGAGAGTGCCCTAGCCACTGTGCTGTGGGATCATCTAGCATGAGTTTTTGGCACAGTTGCTACTCCAGAACCTTTCCGTCTGGCTAGCTATGGCACTTTTGTTTGAGTTTTTCATTACTGTTCTTCAGCCTACTCAAGCTGTAAAAGTGTCCTGGCTCTCTGGCCAAGTTCCTTTGACAGTTCTACACTTTCGAGAGCCCCAAAAGGGTGCAGCCCAACCCTAAGTGTCTACACAGCAGCTCTTAGTTCCACAACCCAAGCCTGAGTCAGCTGTATGTCTACACAGGGATAAGAGCCCCATACCACAGCCACGGCTGGCCTGGATCAAGTTTGAGGGGTGGGACTAAAAATTGCTGGACCCTAAGCTTTGGGACCCTGCTAGGATGGGAGGATCCCAGATCTTGAGTTCCAACCCAAGCCTGAGCATCTACACAACAGTTTTTAATCCCAAAGCTCAAGCCCACAGCTGTGACAGAGTTTTGTGCCCTGTGAACCTGAGTCAGCTGATCTGGGCCAGCTGCAGGGTTTTTAGACTTACCCAGAGTGTTTTATGAATGTGTGACAGAAATACTCAAATAATAGAATAGGCCACCTCTTCCTGCAGGTATGGCTTGACCACTGTAGCTTGTCCACACACCTAACCCTTGTGCCCCCAGGTCTAGTGTTCTCTGCCCTGTTCTCTGGGGTTCTGGCAGGCTTTCACTTTTTGGGGTTCCAGCTCACCCGAGAGGTAGTCTGTTCGCTCTTCTTCCCAGCCTCCTCTCGGGTTGCTTGCCAGACAGTAGGCACTTCCCCCTCTTCTCCTCTGGGTATCCTCCCTCAAGCTGGACCATAAGTTGAGCCACCTGTTCTCACCAATTGGGTTCAGCTTGTGAAGGCAGGGGTGTTTGACCTGTCACAGGCTGGACCATTAAGAATCAGCCTGTGTGGGTGTCACAGTCCATCTCTCTTGTTGAAGCAGTTCTGTTCGGTGGTATAAAATATTTGAGTAGTCGCTGAGCCAGAGAACATGAGACCCTTAGTCTGTGGCTAGGGAAGCTCTGCTGAGAGGGAGAGACATGTTCAGATTCCTGCTCCATATCACACGGGGTGGGGGGGAATTGAATCAGGATCTCTCACATACCGCTGGGCTTAAAGTTATAAAGGAGTTACTTCATATCACATCCCCGTTTTACGAAGTGTGCCCAATCCATTTCCTCCCCCCCCCCCCAAAAAAAAATTTTTTTGCCTGAAACTAGCCAGCAAATCCCTGTCAAATTTGTAAATTGTTTCAGCTCAACCCAAACTGTGTTTTTTGGTGAATAAACTATTTAGCTGAAAAATGTCACCCAGTCTTTCTTGTCAGCCATTTTCTTGTCCTGTTTGTGATAGAATCATAGAACTGGAAGGGACCTCAAGAGGTCATCGAGTCCAGCCCCCCGCCCTCAAGGCAGGACCAAGCTCCATCTACACCATCCCTGACAGATGTCTATCTAACCTGTTCTTAAATATCTCCAGAGAGAGAGATTCCACCACCTCCCTTGGCAATTTATTCCAATATTTGATCACCCTGACAGTTAGGAATTTTTTCCTAATGTCCAATCTAAACCTCCCCTGCTGCACTTTAAGCCCATTACTCCTTGTCCTGTCCTCAGAAACCAAGAGGAACAAATTTTCTCCTTCCTCCTTGTGACACCCTTTTAGATATTTAATGTATGTTTTGATTAAGTCAGGTGCTCTCCAGATTAACCCCTGGTGGGTACTCCACCAGCGCTGGTGTACAATAAATCCTCTGCTTGTTTTCACCTGCACCCAGGGTGCATCTTTCTTGAAATGTGGCGCCCAGAACTGGACACAGTACTCCAGCTGAGGCCTAACTAGTGCAGAGTAGAGCGGCAGAATGACTTCACGAGTTTTGCTTACAACACACCTGTTGATACAACCTAGAATCATATTTGCTTTTTTTGCAACAGCATCACACTGTTGACTCATATTCAACTTGTGGTCCACTATGACCCCTAGATCCCTTTCCGCCATGCTCCTTCCTAGACAGTCGCTTCCCATCTTGTATGTATGGAACTGATTGTTCCTTCCTAAGTGGAGCACTTTGCATTTCTCTTTATTAAACTTCATCCTGTTTACCTCTGACCATTTCTCTAACTTGCTAAGGTCATTTTGAATTATGTCCCTATCCTCCAAAGAAGTTGCAACCCCACCCAGTTTGGTATCATCTGCAAACTTAATAAGAGTACTCTCTATCCCAATATCTACATCATTGATGAAGATATTGAACAGTACGGGTCCCAAAACAGACCCTTGAGGAACTCCACTTGTTATCCCTTTCCAGCAGGATTTAGCACCGTTAACAACAACTCTCTGACTACGGTTATCCAGCCAATTATGCACCCACCTTATCGTGGCCCTATCTAAGTTATATTTGCCTAGTTTATCAATAAGAATATCATGCGAGACCATATCAAATACCTTACTAAAGTCTAGGTATATGACATCCACCGCTTCTCCCTTATCCACAAGGCTCGTTATCCTATCAAAGAAAGCTATCAGATTAGTTTGGCATGACTTGTTCTTCACAAACCCATGCTGGCTATTCCCTATCACTTTATTACCTTCCAAGTGTTTGCATATGATTTCCTTAATTACCTGCTCCATTATCTTCCCTGGGACAGACGTTAAACTGACCGGTCTATAATTTCCTGGGTTGTTCTTATTCCCCTTTTTATAGATGGGCACAATATTTGCCCTTTTCCAGTCTTCTGGAATCTCCCCTGTCTGCCATGATTTTTCAAAGATCATAGCTAAAGGCTCAGATACCTCCTCTATCAGCTCCTTGAGTATCCTGGGATGCATTTCATCAGGACCTGGTGACTTGCTGACATCTAACTTTCCTAAGTGATTTTTAACTTGTTCTTTGTGTATCCTATCTTCTAAACTTACCCTCTCTCTGCTTGTATTCACTACGTTAGGCACACCTCCAGACTTCTCGGTGAAGACCGAAACAAAGAAGTCATTGAGCATCTCCGCCATTTCCAAGTTCCCTGTTACTGCTTCTCCCTCCTCACTAAGCAGTGGGCCTACCCTGTCCTTGGTCTTCCTCTTGCTTTTAATGTATTTATAAAAGGTCTTCTTGTTTCCCTTTATGCCTGTAGCTAGTTTGATCTCATTTTGTGCCTTTGCCTTTCTAATCTTGCCCCTGCATTCCCGTGTTGCTTGCCTATATTCATCCTTTGTTAGTTGTCCTAGTTTCCATTTTTTATATGACTCCTTTTTTATTTTGAGATCATGCAAGATCTCCTTGTTAAGCCAAGCTGGTCTTTTGCCATATTTTCTATCTTTCCTACACAGCGGAATTGTTTGCTTTTGGGCCCTTAACAACGTCCCTTTGAAATACTTCCAACTCTCCTCAGTTGTTTTTCCCTTCAGTCTTGCTTCCCATGGGACCTTACCTACAAGTTCTCTGAGCTTATCAAAATCTGCCTTCCTGAAATCCATAACCTCAATTGTGCTGGTCTCCCTTCTACCTTTCCTTAAGATCATGAACTCTATTATTTCATGATCACTGTCCCCTATACTGTCTTCCACTTTCAAGTTCTCAACTAGTTCCTCCCTATTTGTTAAAACCAAATCCAGAACAGCTTCTCCTCTGGTAGCTTTTTCAACCTTCTGAAACAGAAAGTTGTCTCCAATGCAGTCCAGAAACTTATTGGATGAAGTCGCAACCCCACCCAGTTTGATATCATCTGCAAACTTAATAAGCGTACTCTCTATCCCAATATCTACATCATTGATGAAGATATTGAACAGTACGGGTCCCAAAACAGACCCTTGCGGAACTCCACTTGTTATCCCTTTCCAGCAGGATTTAGAACTGTTAACAACAACTCTCTGACTACGGTTATCCAGCCAATTATGCACCCATCTTATCGTGGCCCTATCTAAGTTATATTTGCCTAGTTTATCTCTGAGACCTTTTCCCTGCACCCTCCCATCTGTGGCTATGTAACATCTTGATGGGAATTGTATGAGTTGCTTAATAGAGAAATTACATTAGGAAAGTGTTTAATGTATTTGTAGCTGCAGGTCATCAATGAGCCAATACCATGTGACCTACTGCCTCCCTGTGGGCCATCAGCAAATGATCCTTAGGCTGCAGATGGAAAGCTGAGGACCTGAGCCCAACATTCATAAGTGCTCGAGGCTAACATTTGCTCTGAAAAATTAAAAACACAGAGAGAGAGAGATTTGTGAGGAGTTAAACCAGGCAGTTGCTGTGGATATTAGTGTTGTGGGGGGAGCAGGAGAGCTATTGGCATCTGTACTGGTTAGAAGTAATTGGGGCTGATTTATATTTACTGAAGTGCCCCATTTGAGTACCTAGAGGAAGGAACTATCAAAAATCAGATTTAAATAAAATGACAAAGTAAAAACACAACAAAACACACACAATGAAATCCTTGTGTGCTTCCCTCAGTCCTAATCACTTGGTGCTTGAAGATTCTCTGAATTAACAAAGGAACATTTTACACCCTGGGGAGCTGCTCTCTGCACTGATTTGTTCAGCTAGCAGCAGGGGGAGTTGTGTGATCAGTCCATGCATACTCTCACCTATACTCCATTGACCAAAGGCTTTTCTCGCTGTTTTAAAATCTGCCCCAAACTCAGGCCTCTTAATTAGCAGCAAAATGTCTTCATTAATAAGCTGCCCAATTGTGTTCCGTATTCCTTTCAACAGTTTCTGTAATTACTGCATGCTCAGGCTTGCTCCGAGGTGATGTTTTTCATATAATGAAAAGAGTTGCTAAACTGGTGCAGCTTCAGTTTATATTATCTGTGGAAAACAGTAAAGTTTCCAAAACAAGACTTCAACTTGAGCTGCTCACTAATTAACAGACAGTTGCTACATGAAAAAATACATTTTAAAGGGTATCGAGATTTTTCTTTTTTGCTGCTTTCAGCTAAGGAGTGAGGGATACAATTCAGTGTTGTGATGCACTGTCCCACATAATGGGGGTGAACCGTAATCCCAGTTCATTGCTTCTTACTGAATCTTTCCATGTTCATTTCTTTTAAAATGTTCTAAATTTATATTTTGGCTTTCATTTGTTCTGGTCAGACTTGTGCTAGTTCTTCGAGAAGAGAGAATAGTGTGTATTGAATTGGAGCTGGAGCGCAAAATATGTAGGATAAGCCCCGAAATCTGAGTCTCTGCTGCTTTGCTTTCCCCGTCAACTCCTATCTCTGCACATACAAGCCACCCGGCCCTGTGGACTTTGTCTGCAGGTGGAAATAGGGAAGGGAATTATGACAATGCAGCCTCTTTTTTTTTTTTTGCTATTTTGCTTGGTAGATGTGTGAAGATTTCTTCCATCGAATATGTTCTTAGCAAGAGCTCGGTAAATTCTCTGCAAATCATTTATTTTGCACAAAACCACTACATGTGTCTGAGTGATATGCCCAATGGTACACAAAATCCAAACCATATAAGTTTTAAAAGAAGCACAAAGTTTGTTTTAATAGAGAACCCATTTCCCACGCTAGATTACTTTAAGAGGCATTTATTTACAAAAATAAAGCCTCATCATTTACAATGGATGTGTCAGTCTGAAAGACTCTACTTATTCTGCAGGCTTGGCATCACCTACTGCCATAACTCCAGTGACATCGCCTTTCTGTAACAGGCTGAAGTCTACCACTCCAGTTTCAAAGCCTCTGGAAGGTAGGTCATCAAAACTAGCTGTAGTTTACAATGAGACTTTGATAGGGTGCTGTAAAGACAGTGTAACTATTTTTAATATTTTCTTTTTGTTTAGAAATAGAAGCCAGGCCTGATCTGCAGCTAGAATCAGACTTGAAGCTAGACAAGCTGGAAACGTTTTTGGGAAGGCTGAACAACAAAGGTTTGTAAGAGTAATTTGAGATTGTAATGGATTCTATACCTGATTTTTCAAATCCGTTAAAGTATTTTAGTTACAGTACCTGATAGCAGAAGTTTGTGTAATTTTATTGTTCATTTCGCCAAGATCATGGTGGAGGTTCTATGCATTTTTTTTCTTGTTTCAGTCTTCGCAAAACTTTGTTGTCACCACCTGCTATTTTTTTTTGTAGAAAACAAAAAAAACTTTTTAAAAATAAAAAATGGTCTGGTAGCACTTTATAGACTAACAAAACATGTAGATGGTATCATGAGCTTTCATGGGCACAGCCCACTTCTTCAGATGACCGGAGTTATGAGTTTGGGATGTGAACACTTGAAATAAATAGGAAAGGGGAAGGCTGATGGTAGGGAAAATAGGAGAGGAGGGTGGGAGACAGAGTATCAGTAAGTATCCGGAGAATGGATACTTAAACCTAAGCAGATAAAAATCAAAATCAATAGATAGATTCCCATGTCAGGAAGGATACTACTCAGAGAACTGTTAGTACCTTCAATGGTTGTTAAATTGATAGTGTCCTAACCAACCTTCATTATGATTGAGTCCATTAGCATGTGAATTGAATTTGCAGATGAACTGTAATTCCAAGACTTCCCTATGGATCTGGTTGTAGAGCTGGTTTGTGGCAAGACAGCTACTTGGAGATCTGTCATAGTATGATTTGGAAGGTTAAAATGATCACCAATCGGTTTCTGTAAGTTTCCTTTACATATATCTGATTTGTGTCCATTGATTCTTCCCTGCAGAGACTGTCCAGCTTGTACAATATATATAGCAGTGGGGCTGGATTACTGCACATCCAGTAATTTGATCTATGCCATCAAATGCCAGCAGTGCCCCACTGGTGCACATTTTAACCTTCCAAATCATACTATGTCCCCCCAGCCTTCTCCTTTCCTATTTATTTCGAGTGTTCACATCCCAAACTCATAACTCCGGTCATCTGAATAAGTGGGCTATGCCCGCAAAAGCTCATGATACCATCTACATGTTTTGTTAGTCTGTAAAGTACTACCAGACCATTTGTTGGGTTTTTTCTGTAACAGACTAACTCAGCTACCTCCTGAAGTTTTTAAAAATAGTAATTCTCTTTTGTGTGTGGTATTACACTTACACACACACACACACACACACACACACACACACACACACACACACACACACACTCTCCACTTAAGCAATTGTTTTACATTCCTAACTGATGCAACAAACCCAGAGGTGCTGGGGCTATGGATTGCCAAGCCCAGAGGGGCTGGGGCTCACTCCTGGCAAACCCTGGTGCAATTTAAGAACTGCTTCTAGCAAATTATCCAGATAACATTATAAAGTCATGTAGCCACTTCAGACCTTGGTTCAGAACCTGCCATTATTTCTGACAATCTGGCTTTAAATGCTGGTCTGTTATTTCTGTCTTACTATTACCAAACTAATGCCTTGGTCACCATCCTCCCCACCTCTGCCCTTCACTGAGGTAACTTTTAAAAATCTTTTTATAGTGTCTTTCTATAATTTACTTTAGCACTTCATGTTTTTATTATAAACTAAGTTGTCCCGGTATCTAGACATTTCACATTTTCAAGGAACTTCATTTTAGGCTAGCTTCAAAATGTATTCTCTATTTAAAAACAATGCATAGAAAAACAAAAGACAGGCATACACAACTTTAAGGTCAGAACCCCAGATAGAATTAAAGTGAATCTTTCTTTTATCCGCATCTGCAGTTGGTGGGATGCAAGAAACAGTGCTAACGGTCACAGGAAAATCGGTGAAAGAGGTGATGAAGCTGGACGATGATGAAACCTTTTCCAAATTTTACCGTCATGTAGATTGCCCTATTTCCACAGTGCCTTTGGAGCTTAATGAGGACTTTGATGCCATCTTTGATCCTTATGCACCAAAGTGAGTTCCTTCTCTTGCACTACTCTGAATAAATATAATTTTTTCCTGGATGTCTTACAGATGGCCATTGGTCTCCCCTTTTTACCTTTCCTTTCCTCTCCCATCTTCACCTAAATGGGAAACCTTCCAATGTAACCAAATCTTTGCCTCGAGTTGGCTAATCAGAGAGATGCAGAGCTTGACAAAATGGTCACGAAAGATCACGATTCTGTCTATTTTTTTATTAGTCTCTAACGTGCCATAGGACTACTAATTTTTAAAGTTACAGACTAACACGGCTACCCATCGTAGATTGGTCAATTGTAGAAATTGTTGTGTAGATATCTTTTAACAGTGGCCACATCCACTACTTGTCCGGATTTCTGGAATGCTTACATCATGCATCTGTGAGCTGACTTCAGCTTTACATGCCATGCCAGTACAGAGCAAGTGTCTAATGGCTTGCTGTTAGTGGATTTTGATTTTTAGACCAATTCTGTCATCTGAAGACTATAAAACTTTCATTTGCCGCTTAGGTTAATTTCTTCTGTAGCAGAGCACAAACGTGCCGTGAGACCTATGCGCAGGGTTCAGGCTTCAAGGAACCCCCTGAAATTACTGGCAGCAAGAGAGGACATTCTTCATGAATACACTGAACAAAGATTAAACATCGCCTTCATGGAGTCAAAGCGAATGAAAGTAGAGAAAAGTAAGTTGATTTGATGGCTCTTAGATGCCAGTAGCTTTCTAGTAGCAAAGGGTTAAAAACAAATGCACACAACTCTCTGAGAATTCATCGTTAAGTTTCAGTTGGAAGGCTGAACACTGGTAAAATATTGAAGCCTAGTGGAACAAGAAATAAGTGGTGCATTTGAATGCTTGAAGGAAGCATTCAGTAGGTCAGTACTCCAGCACCAACTTTTTCAGTCTGTTCAACCAAGTGAAGAGAACAACACTAGGTTTGGATAGAGTTGGGAGTAATAAGGCTGAACATGCCACTAAGAGCTAGGGACTAGATCTGAGATAAAATGGGTGTTTAGTATGATGACAAATTTTTCTGTTGGGAAAAGAGAGCAAGTCTTGTTTGTCAAAAATAGACCAACTTCCTTGTAAGTTGCCCTCATTCTAATGGCCATAATCATCCCTGAAGAGTTCAAAACTGACCTCCTAACTCCAAACCGTTAGCTTCCCTACAAAGTAACTGTATTCTGGCAGGAATTTGCAGCTAAGTGCATAAGTGACATGCATCCTCACGAACACCACAGTATTAAGTCACAAAAGTGTAATGTTTCTTCAAAGTTTATTTGGCAAATCACCAGTGCATTGTTTCCGTTTCCCTTTTGCCAGGGCAGTGAAGAGAACTATCTATGTTGCCTGTATTGATGAAAACATAAATTCTATAGGATATTGTACTTGACAGCGTTCTACTAAATAAGCTATTCCACTTTGTATATAGCTGACACACACTTCCCTGGACCTGAAGAAGAGCTATATGTATGTAGCTCAAAAGCTTGTCTCTTTAGCTAACAGCAGTTGGTCCAATAAAAGCTCTTAACTCAACTACTTTGTATATCTAGTATTGTAATGTAAAAAAAAGCATTAATCCTATTAGAAACCTCTGAAATCATTGTTGTTTTTGGTTGAGAAATAAGTGTTAATTGCCAAGATTTTAAATTAATTTAAATCTGTATAATTTGATTCTGAGACTTAGAAGTGCATAAATGCCTGTTGTATCACAATTGCTGAGATGAATTTGAAGAAAATTGCAACTACTTAGCCTTGGCTTCTCTCTCAGCTTTGTATCATCATTAATCTTTTATATTTGCATCACAAATGTACACTACACTTCCAAAAAATTGATATTTTCTTTTACATTGGAAATTTCTAAAAATAAAATGTTTGGTAAACTGGCAGTAAACTATGGGATGATATCTAGAAACTTGCCTAATGATTAAGACAAGCAGGGACTTTGAACTTGCTGTTAACTTGAGTTCAACCTATTTTTTGTTGTCTTTTTCAGTGGCAACAACAAAAAAGCTGAAAATGAGCCATGCAAGGAAAAAACCCTAAATTATATATAGAAACCAAACATAATATCTGTTTTTTTGTTTTTGTTTTTTTGCTTTTTGTGTCTCCTGTTTGGTTTATGTTTTGTTTTGTTTGTGTAAGTGTCTGCAAACTCAAATTTCTCAGAAGTAGCACTTGCTGGCTTAGCAAGCAAAGAAAACTTCAGCAATGTCAGTCTACGAAGTGTCAATCTAACTGAACAGAACTCCAACAACAGTGCTGTGCCATACAAGAAACTGATGCTGTTGCAAATTAAAGGTATATTACAAGTTTTTATATTATCAATGCATATTCATTATGGTTATTTTCAAATGCTTCTCTGGAAATTGGAGCCCCACAGTATTGATCAAGAATCCCTGCCTTGGAAAGCTTACACCCTAAAAGATGCAAGAACAAATGAAGGTTGTGGATCAGTCATATAGCATATCACCTAAATAAACCTGGTGGTGTCTGGCACTGCTTTGGTAAGGAAAAATGAGAGGATAAGCATTAGGATTTCTGTTTTTCTGTCCTATGGGATTTTATTTATTTTGATTTGTTTTGTCTCCCTAATATTTGCCTCCATTCTAGTACCAACTTTTCACTTGCAGTAAGAGCACCATAATGCTATTTCAATTATTCTTATAATACATTGTTACTGTGCCTAATCTCTGCTAAAATTAGCTACTTATTTGGCAAGTGGAATCTTAAAATTTGTCATTAATTATATGATTGTTTATTAAGGTGGTAAAGCAGTTTCACAAATGGAAAAGGCTATAGGTTTTGGCTGCTTTTTATTACATTTATTATTAATCTTTTTTTTTCCTCCCAGTGGGGCATAAAATTGTCAAGGCAGGAACAAGTAGCTATATAGTAATACCAGTTAATAGACAAAAACAAATTATTTTTCCCAAATATGAAAGCTATGCTATTCTTTTTTCTAATGAAATACTTTTGGAAATGGATTATTCGTGCAATGGGATCAAGTTTGTCTTTCATCCAAAATAATTAGGTCTTCAAAGATTGATGGCAGTATTTTTAGGAATATAATTACCCTGGTTTTATTTTAGGAAGAAGACATGTTCAAACAAGATTAGTTGAACCAAGGGCTTCATCACTGAACAGTGGAGACTGCTTCCTGTTGTTAACGCCACATTACTGTTTCCTGTGGGTAGGGGAGTTTGCAAATGTCATAGAAAAAGCAAAGGTTAGTCCACTGAAATGAGCTCTCACATTCAACTTTCCCATAATCACTCTTGATGCCAATTATCTGAATAGTCCAATGCTGGAATTCGCACACAGTCGCATATCATTGCTCATCAGTGGGAGGTAGATATGTCTTATTTTCCTAAATATATCGTATCCTCTGCATTTATTGGAAGCTAATGTGGGGCATGCAAGTTGCAAAAATCACAGTAGGAAATCCTCAGGAAAGGAATTTGTATTCAAACAGAAAAACAGTTTGAATTGCAGGATGTCCTTTTTGTTTCTACATTCGTTTGGATAATTTCTCTTTGTAATCACAACTAAAAGCACTGATGTATTGGTAATTTTTTCACTAGCTTCTGTGTGTTTGATATAAAGAAAGGTAATGACCATTGCTACTGCTACTGTCCCTTTTCTCACTATGCACTTTCCCTCCACTGAACGTGCACAAATGACTTAACTGATCCTATTCAGATAATTATGTTAATCTCTTAGGCTTCAGAACTTGCAACTTTAATTCAGACAAAGAGGGAACTTGGCTGTAGAGCTTCTTATGTACAAACCATAGAAGAAGGGATAAATACTCATACTCATGCAGCTAAAGACTTCTGGAAACTTCTTGGTGGCCAGACAAGTTACCAGTGTAAGAGGTTTTATATTTTCACAATTTCACCCAGGGATGTCTTATCACAGCATAATAGAGAAATTTGGTATCTTTTCTCTTCAAGCTGCTGGAAGCCCTGAGGAAGATGAAATGTACGAAGCCGCAATAATAGAAACAAATTGCATCTATCGTTTAGTAGATGATAAACTTATTCCTGATGATGACTACTGGGGGAAAATGCCAAGATGTACTCTGCTTCAATCCAAAGAGGTAAAGTAAATTGCATGTAGAAGGTTTTAATTAGAAACGCTTCCTCTGGAAGATACTGTTGGTCTGATTTTCAGTAAGTTTGTTGGCACACAATTGTAAATACAAATCTGTAGACTTACTGAAAATCACATCCTTTGTACTTCTGATATTTTAAATCCTTTGTTACCAGAAACTGACTATCTTCAGAGCCCCAGTATAAAGAAAGTTTAAAAAAAAAATTAGAATGTATTTTCTCCACTGACAACTTTTAAAAACTTCCATCCCTTTTTATTCATTCTGGGTTCTTTTCTCCAAGTCCATCCAAGTCCAAACCAACTAACTTTTTTTCCTCTCCCCTTCCCTAAACCCTTTTTCACCCTCAGTAAATTGTCACTGCAGCCAATTCATCTAACCAGGAGGGATTGAAAATAGTTTTTTAGAACAGTCAGTATTGCTTTTTGATGAGTAAAACTTTCAATTATCCTGTGACTTTACTCCCACATAAGCAAATTCCTTGGTAGAATTTCCAATACTTGCTTACCGAATATGCAAGTAATCAGGCCCATAAATCAAATCCAGATCCTTTGGTGTGGCTGGTATTTCATTGTTGGGTCCTTTTGTCACATAGGACATTTAAGTATTTGTTTCACTATGTGAATTAAATCACAACTCTGCCACTGCCATACTAAAGAGATTTTGGTATAATTAAATGTATTTTCACTGCAGTTAAATTACTACTTTAATTATTTCTAGGTGCTGGTTTTTGATTTTGGCAGTGAAGTATATGTGTGGCATGGGAAAGAAGTCACATTAGCACAGAGAAAAGTAGCATTCCAGCTGGCCAAACATTTGTGGAATGGAACTTTTGACTATGCCAATTGTGATATAAATCCTCTAGATCCTGGAGAGTGCAATCCCCTTATACCAAGGTACCAAACTTACAGCTGTTGTAGTACTTTTGTTCTCTTTTTGATACACTGGGGATATGAATTATGGTGAGCTAAAGCACATGAATTCCCTTAAATAGGGTCAATGTGTAAATTGCCAGCTGCCATTGTTCTCTGTGGCAGCAATGACTATTAGTTGCCACAAGCCAGCATGATATAACATGTAAAGTTGTGCCAGCTGAAGGGGGTGAGATTGTATATTGTCAAATAAACATTCAGGGAGGTAAAATCTTTCAGGCTGCCTTTGTACATTGTAAGAAGGTACACGGTCAATGGCTATCATTGCAATCCTGCATTGAGCAAATGTTTGATATCTGAATAGTTTTCATACTTAATAATTTTCAAACTAGAGTAAAGACTAGGAAACCTGTATTGAGCATGCATTTTCCTAGAGGGTTGAAAACATTTGATTTCTTGCATATATATATATATATATATATATTACAGTATATAGTTTTTAATCCATTAAAAAAATTTTTTTTCTACTAAAGAAAAGGACAAGGGCGTCCTGACTGGGCTATCTTCGGCAGACTCACGGAACATAACGAGACCATATTGTTCAAAGAAAAATTTCTTGACTGGACTGAATTGAAGAAGCACAATGAGAAGAACTCTAGTGAATCTCTTCACCAAAAGGTAGAACAAATAAACTTACTGTGTATTTTGAATATTTGATTTGTGTGATTACATTGGAAAGACAAATTTTAATTAAAAATATATGGAAATAACTGCAATACCTCAATAGAGATGTAAGATTTGTTCTCAGTGGTTTAAACTGCATCCTTGATCTTTAGAATGTCAACCAGAATCGTATCACTAACAACAAACCCGCATAAATGCTCTTTACCAACCAGTGTTTGGGTGTGATGATCGATGCTGCAAAAGTGGCTTTGCTACAAGAGGAATACAGTACCACGCTGTCTCAGAGTATCTCATACGTTTGCTACTTGCATGCTTATATAATTGAGTAAGGAAAAAAATAATTTAAACTTAGACAAACTCCAGCCCTGTTTCTTATGTCATAGGAAGATCCCAGGTCTGACTTTAAGCCATATGATGTCATGCTAATGGTACCAGTGCCCCAAACTACAGTTGGCACTGTCTTGGATGGAATAAATATTGGCCGTGGCTATGGATTTGTTGAAGGAGAAGATGGGAGACAGTTTGAAATTATCACTGCCTCCGTGGATGTTTGGCACATCCTGGAATTCGATTACAGTAGGCTGCCTAAACAAAGTATTGGACAGTTCCATGAGGGTGACACATATGTGGTTAAATGGAAGTACATGGTGAGCACTGCAGGTTAGTGAACGACTTAATTTCTTCATGCTGAGATACTAATGTCTGTGGCTAAAGCCTCTAATGTTAATAGCAAAATCCCGAGCTAAATTTCCTTGCATGTGATGCATGCATCCCTCCAGTCAAACAAGAGGAATTCATTTACAGCATGTGACCATTACAAAAATGTTGGTAAGCAAGATATGAAGTAGAATTCCTGATAAAATCACTGCTGCTGTTCCTCTTCCTCACACCAAAATGTAATCTGCACTATCACACAGCAGTTTTCCATGTGTTAATTTGGATGTTTTAGCTTAATTCCTTCCAAATTGTAGTTGCATAGTTCTGGTTTGCAAAATGGCTTGAATTATGACACCAAGAATAACTAGTCTGCTTCAACCTAGAACTGAATCAGACAGGGAACTGGACTAGGGGCAGTGCCCTGAACTGACTTGCAGGAAATTTAGGTTAAGTTCCAGGTTAAAGCCTTTGCCATGTAGTGGAAAGAGGAAACAAAGGGAAAGGAAAAGTCTATGCTAGATGGCGAAGCCAAAGTGCCAAGAAAGAAGGAATCGCTCTTCGTGCTGGCTCTCCAGACACTCATCAATGGATTTCAGCCTTGATTTGAAAATACTTAATTGTTCTCTTATGAAAAGACTGGGTAGGTAGGTCTCTGGCAAGCAGCCTGCTCTGTTTGATATTTGAGAGCATGGATTCCGGCACAGCCCGACCAGCCCCCTATCTCAACAAAGTGGGGAAGGAACTCCAGAGCAGTTCAAAACCCCACAAATGAAAAGTTTGTGTGAAACTGTGATCCAGGTAGGCAAGTGCCCTAATCAGTCAGAGTCCCATCCACCACAAATATGGCTTCACTCTCAAAAGTAGCCAGAAAATACAGATTAATGCAGAATTGTGGAGTCAAGATACTGGAGAATCCAATTAGAGCACAATAGTGTGTGAATCTGAGAGTAACTACAGATGGAAGTAAACCCAGACAGGCTTTGTTACAGAAACTTTTGAATACAAAAATGATTGGACTTAAACATGAAACCATAAGCTGATTCCATATGTAAACAAAACAAGGGAAAACCAACTTCTTGCTCCATGAAGAGGGGTTTTTTTCTGTACATGTTGTAAATAGTTGGATCCTGACAGGATGAATCTACTCAGTAGGCTGGTTTTGTCAAAGGAGGCAGCACCTTTCACTGCTTTTGAAGAGTTTAGAGGGAGACAGGCCCAAGATTTTCAAGTGACTAGTGATTTTCAGTGCTCAATTTTGAGATGGCTTTAGAGGGTGTGGATTTTCAAAGTGGTTGTTCAGCACTTCTGAATATCTGGTAGGTGCCAAAATGCTGCTCAGGGCGACTACCTTGTGCTTTTTAAAATCTTGCCCTAATTGTATCACAGATTATTCAGTGTCAGTAGCTAAAGTAAGGGTTTTAAACATGCTGTTGCTTACTAATTATAATAGATAACGAATAAAGCCCCCTTTAAAAAAAAATCTTGCTCCTAGTCCTCTGCTCAGACTAAAATGGAGCATTTAGTTAATGGCACTTAAAGTAATCATGGGATTCTTTTCATGAAAGTAAGTTATTAATTTAGTGTTCTCGGAGCATCATAACTTGGAATCCCCTTGCAGTTTCCTTTTTTAATATAATTGTATCAAGAAGAATTTTCATTTTCTGCTTGTAGCTGTCCCAACTGCTGCTGTTTCTAATATCATTCAGCAGCCAGCTAATCTGCTGCCAGAGGACAGAGCAATTTGGAAAATGAGACCGTGAGCTTTTTTTGTTGTCTGGCTGCACCATTTCACGTTGTCTGATTCTCTCATATGATGTTAATTGCTTTACATGATCGTTCTGGTTTGGAGGCCTTTGGCCGGTGAGTGGAGTCTGTGCGTGCAGCTTTACATCCACCAGATGATGTCCCAGTGCAGAACTGGCACATGCATCTTGCGCTGCTTGACTTAATGTTTCTCAGATTGTGCATGCAGTCCAAGCTGCCCTGGACTTCACATCGCTGAGCTGGCTGGCTAAGCACGTGCGTGCCACAACGATAGCGATAGCCATAGCCATTTTCCTTCAATGCGAGCCCTTTATTTTGCAGTTGGCAGCAGACAAAAGGGAGAGCAGCAAGTCAGGGCTGTTGGGAAAGAGAAGTGTGTGTACTACTTTTGGCAAGGGAGGCACTCTACAGTGAGCGAGAAGGGGACATCAGCACTCATGACTGTGGAGCTTGATGAAGAGAGAGGAGCACAGGTGAGTGGCCAGCATGTCCTCTGTGTGTAGAACAACTGCTGTGTGAGAACTGTAGTAAAAGCTAGTACTGGCCAAACACCCACATTTAGTGAGTAAATATGGAGGTGAGATTTGGAGGGTTGATTGTTTTTTGTTTGGCTCCCTTCTAATGCAGAGGTTATACCTATGTCATACCATAGCCATAGCTTCCCAAAGTACCCCTTGGCTTCGTTCCCAGTTCCAGAACAACATTCCAGCATCATAAAACCTTGGCTTCTTTGTGGAGCTTGTAGTTCCAAGATCTGTCTTCTGGGAAGTCTTAGAAGTCAGCTGTCGGTAAAGGCATGAAATGTGATACCCTTGGTGTTGACTCCAGCATCCAATTAAGGCATTCATATCCTCTCAAACTGCTATAGCCACTCCACTGTGCCCCAAAAAGAGGCATTTTTGGCAAGGCCAAGACATAAAATTGAATTGTGTTTGGAAAGTAGTGTAATGTTCTAGCTTGGGGAGCAGGTATGTGGTGAAGGGAGCAGAGGACATGATTGCATTTGACACCTCTTCTATCAAATTCTGTGCAAGTGATTATAAACCAGTCTGTCCTGTCAATGTAATAATCATGAAACTTCATGGAAGCCAGCATTTTAAGCACTGTGTTCAAGCATATTTGTATATGACTTTTACCATCTTCATAGGTCTGCCGAAATTGTCTCAAATTATGTCTAAATTCTTTGAGAGCATGGTCCCTGCCATTAATGGATTCCGATGCTGTTTGAAAATAATGCCATGTACTTTACAATAGGGTCAGCATTCCTTTTCTCCTGACTTCTAAAATTGCTGAGCACTGCTAGGTACAAGTTCCTCTTAGTTATGCAGTCCATAACCAGAACAACATGTGTGAGTCCCACAGACTGTTGATATATTTGGCAGTTCCAATACGAGTCGGTGTTTTAACATATCAGAAAAACCACCCTTGTGGGTGGCCAGGATTATGCTATTTTTGAGGAAAACTGCCCCTTGGTACATCATTAGTCTCTCTAAATTCATGTGCTGTGGTTTTAGTATTGTGGTGTTCTCCATTTCTAGGTACAAGTGCTTCAAGGCAAAGAACCACCATGCTTTCTGCAGTGCTTCCAGGGAGGGATGATTGTGCATGCTGGAAGAAGGGAAGAGGAAGAAGAAAATACACAAAGTAATTTGCTTACTAGAACTGGCTTTTCTGCTTCAGGAGCCTCCTTTTCTGGAAAAAATGTATTTTAGTTTTAAGCTAAACTAGCACTTGTTCTATATAAGAAGGGAAATAGTGAAGCTGCTTCTGCTGATGACCTTTGGCATGGGGCTCATACTTGTGCTTTCATTTCCGTTCACTCCTCACTTAAAATGTGTTTGTCAACCCAGGAGCAAATTCACATATGCTTGTACAAGCATACAAGTAAATGGTCTTGGTTGATATTTAATTATGAGTAAATGGTTCCCTCTATTTTATATGGTCCAGCACAAAAAGATTATATGATTATGAGCTTACAATTTTGCATGTTATCACTTTTGGATTTCCATTATTCAAACAGTGAAGCTTCTGCGACATTTGCACTGCACATTGCGATTCATACCATGTACTCCGTGAGCACTGGGCAAATTCTTTTCAATCTAATGGTAGCTTGGAAAGGCTGCAGTTGGGATAAACCTGAACTTGATCTGCTGTGCCTAGGTTTTACAGTTCACAAAGCAGAGAGATCATTAATATTTATTTAGGTACTTGCTCACTCTAAATGAAAAAGGGGGAGAGTTAAGTAGAGGAATGATAAAATTGCCTCTTAATTTCCTTTTCTTGCTTTATGGCGGTTTAAGATTGTGTAATGCAGAGCAATGCAGAGCTTGCCATCGATCCTAAAAGATCTTGTATAAGAAGTAACTTTGCCAGAATGTAAGAGATCTGTCCTGTCTGTGCCCGTTCCAGGTGACTGGAGGCTGTACTGTGTACGAGGAGAAGTTGCCATTGAAGGAAATTTACTTGAAGTAGCATGTCACTGCAGCAGCCTGAGGTCCAGGACATCTATGATTGTTCTCAATATAAATAAAGCCCTTATCTATCTGTGGCATGGGTGCAAAGCACAGTCTCACACAAAGGATGTAGGAAGAACAGCAGCCAATAAAATAAAAGAGCAGTAAGTAGCCAGCTTATACTTTGGAGACCTTTGTATTATGTAGCTGGGTTATTAAATGTAGCTGTCAGCCAGAAATAACCAACAGCCTCCAACTGCACTGATCCTGAGTGGGTTGGGAGATAGTAGCCTATGTGTGTTGAGAGAGGAGGACTGGACGCGGGGCACCAAGTTCATTATGTGCACATACTGACTTTCAAACTAACCCAATAGCGTTAGCCACATTCACTGTACTTTTGCAATTTAATTGGTATTCCTGTTACAGCACTATGTAGAGCTCTGCAAGTCCATGGGTACTGGTGTGTCTCCATAGGTCATCCTCCTAACCCCCTGCCAGGCAAATGTGGAGCCGAGGTGGGAGCCCTGGGGAGCTGTGGCCAACCCTAAACCTGCTCTGAGATGAGAGAAGCTCATGGCTATGTCCCTATGCCACAGACTACCTGCCTAGCTGAAGGGACCTTGTGAGCTCCCCCTGTTTGCCCACACAGCTCTTCCTGACTGGCTCATGGAGGAGGGAGGGTAGAAGGGAGGGGTGTAGTGTGTTTGGCCCCCACTATAGAGCCCTGCAAATCTACACATAACTTTTGCAGATTGAATGCAGGTAGGATAAGAAAAAAACTTATATGAGAGAGGGTTCTGATGAAGCTAGGGAAGGAAGCTTCCAAGAGAAACTGATGGGGGATAAAAAGGAGAAACTGAAGGACTAAAAGCTCACGAGTATTTTCTCACATTCTGCATATATGATCAGTCAGAGAAATAAATACTGTTACCGAAATGTCATGTTTTACATTGTTGGCTGTACTGATGTTCATATGGGGCAGGCTGGCAAACAGGAAGTGCCGGTGTCCCTAGACTCGGTCTTTGGACGGGCTTGGATTGCTCTCACGTGCCTGAAGCTGTGTGTATTTGGAAGTATGTTGGGCTCACGTAACTTCTTTGTGTTGCAGATGCCCGTTGGAAGCTGGATTGCACAGCAGCAGCAAGGTGACAATACATGAATGTGATGAAGGGTCGGAACCACTGGGATTCTGGGATGCATTAGGAAGAAGAGACAGAAAAGCCTATGATTGCATGTTGCAAGGTAGCACTGTAGTCCAGTGATCATTGCCTACCTGTGACTGTGTTGTAGGATAATAAAATACATTTTATTTTAGTAGAACATGTTTCCACTGTTGGCGTGAAACTTTCGCAGTAGTCAGGGCCCTGGTGAAGTCAAGATTCTTGCTAGAGAATAAAATACGCTTCCTGCCACACACATGTGAACCTATTGGAGTCTGAGCATGCGAAGGGGCTAAAGAGTGAAGTGTCCTCTCCCCTTGGCCCCAGAACAGAGCAGCAGTTAACTCAGCCCACCGGATACGTTTCAGTTCTCCTCTGGAGGGGTCAGATGATGGTTTTATATTTAATCATTGGCTACTCTGCTGGAACTGCCAACAAAGCTGGTAGTTGCAGGATGGACTTATACCGCGCAAACCTGTCAGTGTAGTAGATTGTGAGACAGGCGAACTTTCCTGTAAGGCACAGAAGTCAGCCAGCCAAGAAATGTCTGCACTGCCATTAAAACCCATGACTGGCCCATGCCAGCTAGGGATGTGAAAGGTTCACTAGTAAGTACCACTCTTAACAAGTGATGCTTTCTGGTCTGGTTAGCCGGTGGGGGCTGGAGGAGCTCCCTGCCTGCCGTGGACCAGGGGCTGCTGCGGTTAGGCTGGAACAGCTCCAGCCTGGCCATGGGGGAGTGCCGCTCCTGCCTACCCCTCTTTTAATTGGTTAACTGGTTAAACATTGTTTACAGGTTAACCGATTAAATGGGATTTTACATCCTGATGCCAGCTGACATGAGCTTGTGGGGATAAGGGGCTGTTTCATCGTGCTGTCGATATTTGGGCTCAGACTGCAGCGTGGACTTGAGGATCCTGTGAGGTAGGAGGGTCCCAGAGGTGAGGCTGCAGCTGAATGTCTGAACCACAGTTAAATGACCCCTTAGCTCAAACAGTTGGAGCCCAGCTTGTCTGGCGGGAATCCGATTGCAGTGAATCACTACTAGCCAGGGTTGGATTCACAATGGTGGCTAGAGCTGAAATGTTGCCTATCTCCACCACTGCCAGTCTCCTGTCCTGATTATTCAGAAGCTCGCATATACCATAGCAAGCATCAAATCAGCTTTCGAATTCCCTGGGTCCTGTCGTACTAGATATTTTTGGTTTTTGTTTTATTAGATCCTGGAAAGTTTAACTTCACCCCCCGCCTGTTCATCCTCAGCAGTTCATCAGGAGACTTCTCGGCCACTGAGTATATCTATCCTGCAAGAGATCCCGCTGTTGTCAATTCCATGCCATTCCTGCAGGAGGATCTCTACACCGCCCCACAGCCAGGTACAGAACTGAGCTATTGATGTGAATACCGCACTGATCCCAGCTATTAGACCCATGAGTACAGAGATCCCTAGTATAAAGTTATTCTCATGTGTAAGCAGGGAAATGTACTGACGGGGGTTATTGAGCAGCAGTGACCTCTGTTCCTGCACAAGCAAGTAAGGGGAGAGAAGGCATAATCACATTCGGCTTTGCTCTGGCACCCAGTACACATTATTCCTGGGGAAATTCTGCACCAAAAATTCTGCACACTAGGTGTTAAAATTCTGCATATTTTGTCAAAATAACATTGTATAATGATGCCAATATTGGTGGTTTATTTCAAAATACCTTTCAATAGCTATGTAATGGTACAGACACCAAATAAGATTCCCACAGGAGTAAAAAGCTAAAGAAATCCCCAAAACAATCCCGTTCCTGTTTTTTCTGCCTCCTCCCTCACAGAGCTTAGGGGAGGGACCAGACACTCCCACACAGGGTACCCACAGTCCAAACACCTTATCCTCCTCTCCCCAGGGCCCACCTGCAGCTGCCCAGAACCCTCCAGCTCCCCATATACCTTCTGCCCCAGCATGTTCTGTACTTGCACGCTGAAAAGCTGGGCTCTGTTGGGTCCTGTGGCCCCTAGTGACAGCCAGCAACTCTGTAGTGTTAATGCTGGAGAGAAAAAGGAAATTCTGGACAGAATGCTTATTCTGCACAAACTCTGCATTGTGCAGTGGTGCAGAATTCCCCCAAGTGTATTTAATTAACCACAGTATCACTTCAGTGTGTGTAAGACTAGGAGGCATTCAACCTTCAAACAAAATATTGAAATTTCCATTTGGGTAATACCAATTAAATGTATTTGTACATAGACCATTATGAAAGAGAACACACTATTCCCACGCTCATCCTGTTGGGAAGCAGAGCTTTGCTGCTTGACTTTTTAGAAATTTCTGTGGTTGGATAACAAATGGCATTGATGGACTCGCTCTGTCCAACCAAAATAAATTGCATAGCTATGACTAAAATCAGCCTGTCTTATGGAGAAACCTAGTAAACCATAAGCTGAGTAAATATCTGGTATTTCTTGTTCTTCTTTGGCTGTACAGCCCTCTTCCTCGTTGACAATCACCACGAAGTATATCTTTGGCAAGGCTGGTGGCCTGTAGAAAACAAAATAACTGGATCAGCTCGAATCCGATGGGCTACAGACAGGAAGTGCGCCATGGAGACCGTACTCCAGTACTGCAAAGGTAGTAAGAAAGCTACTTTGTGCCAGTTTTGATCCTGACTCTCTTGAAGTTTCTACAGTAACTATCACCAGAGTATTAAAATGCTCTATAGGTGAAATAAATTGGTAAGATGAGGTCCCTAATAAATTGCAAGGAGTTTGTTTATTCTTTCCCTGGATCCTTCCATAAGGATTAGGGCAGGGGTGTCCAAACTTTTTTCAAAGAGGGCCAGATTTGAAGAAGTGAACATGCGTGAGGGCCGTCCCCGCACTCTCAGCCCCAAGGTGGAGGGCCCGCGGGATCAGAGGCGGGCGGAGAGTGCAGGGCACGCCGGCCTCACGGCGGCCCGGGGGCAGGGCGAACCCGCAGCTGAGCAGGGGAGTGGGGCTGCGGACGTGCCCTACAGGGCAGGCTTTAGGACCGCGGCGGCCGCCATGGACGGCAGCGGCGCGGCCGGAAGCGGCGCACTGCGCGCACCAGTTCACAGGAGCACCAGGAAGCCAGGAGAGGGGGAGGACCGGAACACGGGCTGCAATTGGCCTGCGGGCCGGACTTTGGACATGCCTGGATTAGGGCCTCTGTTTGGGAAGTGATGTTTTATTATTTTTGAATCATCTTGCTTTTAATGCGATTGTATTTCCTCGAAGAGGAAAGTGGGCAGATGGTGGATTAGTCTGATCTCTGGCAATTCAGGCTGTTACTGAACCCTCTTTAATCCTGCTTGCTGTGCCGCCAGCTATCATGTGCTTCGTTCTGGGTTTGATACAGTGCATTGTCCCAAAGGAACGGTGGGAGATGCAGTTGCTGATGTAACTGGGTTTGGATTTGGTGATGGCTGTGAAAATCAGGAACAAAGCTAGTTGAGAGCTTGTGTAGGGAGCAAAGCATGAGGTAAAGTGCTCACAGCAGCCTGCCTCACAAAGTAGATGACCAGGTATGTTCTGCACACATTCCAGTCTGCACTGCTCGAGCCCCTCATTGCGATCAAGGCTGGAGTTGATGAATGTGTGGATAGCAGTGGCTGGATTCCTTGGATGAAGGGGAAGCGTTTCCTTGGAAGCAGGAGAAGGAAAAAGGCTCCCTCGCCCCTCCTCATCTCATGTTACCTGATCATCCAAGCTTGGAGATGAGAAGAAAAGGAGCCTGAGACTTCTCATGTCTCTGCCAAATAGGGATTGGATGATGAAAGTGGGTAGGATACCTTCATTGGAAGAAGAGGGCCCAGTTGTTTTTTTAGAGCATTTTCTCCATCTGACTAGCACCATCCCTGTTTGGTTTGAGCTAACTCTTCCCAGTTACAGCTGAAGAGCTGATGTGTTGTGGCATGGGTTTCAGCTGTGGTGAGTGAACTGTACAACTCCTGTATTGTTGGTAGCTGAGTTGGTCATATCTTCCAGCTTCACCAGAAGTGTCTGTCATGTGTTGATGGGGGAAGTGTGGAACTCCACATATGTGGGTCCATAGGGAAAAAGGTGCAGGTGACTGATCACAGCTTTCTGGGTTCAGTAGGAAAGGAATGATTTGTCATATGCCACTGTACCCTCTACTCCTGGCATGTCATCTACATGGATCATTAACACCTTGTGGTTGAGTATGGAAAGTCATTGAAAAGCTGAGCATTGAAACAAGGCATCTATCCATTGCTCTTCTATTGTCAGCAGGACTGTCTCTGTGCAGAATTCTGGTGTAGCCTCCAGGACATTAGCAGGTCTCTGAAGACACAGTCCAGTGCTCCAGCTGCTAGACAATCCAGCCTCATGTCCATGGAAACTTTTTCCTTCTTGGCTTTCATTAAAGAGGGAAAGGGGCAGGTTGTGAATGTCAGTGGCTGTACTGGTAGCAGGGGGAGTGAATGCTGTCTGTGGTGATTTAGATTTGGATTTTTTGCCTCTCTGTTCCCCGAAATGTGGATGCAAAGTAGGATGAGAGTTCCTCAATGGTCTGTGCTTGAGATTATGTATCACAAACTGATTAATTGCTTTGCTACATGTGGTAACTCTGCTGGCTATGATTTTTTCAGCTGCAGAGGCCTTGGTGTTGAAAGCTCCATTTGCTCCCTTTCCAGGTGTGGTATAGTTCTGCACAAGTGTTTTGTGCTGTTGAGGTAGCAAGTTTTCAGCCGTCAAAGTCCTAATATTGTACCTAATGCACTTCCCCTGCCAAAATTGATCTGAATATCAGGGTGATCTCATTCATTGTGAAGGGGGAGGTGACTGTGGTTGTGGGAGCAGGAACAATTTGATTGTGATGTTCTACTGGTTTGTCAGCTTCCTGGGCTTGTGATTAAGTGATTCTCCTGTCAAATATGGTGAACTTTACAGGAATTAAGAATAGTGATAGAGATGCAGCCGTGTTAGTCTGGTCTAGCTGAAACAAAAGACAGAACTATGTAGCACTTTAAAGACTAACAAGATGGTTTATTAGGCGATGAGCTTTCGTGGGCCAGACCCACTTCCTCAGATCAATATGTGGAAGAAAATTGGCACAACCATATATACCAAAGACACTAACCTTCTCCACCCCTCCCGTCCCCACCCATCCCCTTCTGTTCTTAAACCCGATTCGTCATTTTTATGTGTTCACTTTTTTTTGATTGTATCACTTTGGTATATATAGTCGTGCCAATTTTCTTCCACATATTGATCTGAGGAAGTGGGTCTGGCCCACGAAAGCTCATCGCCTAATAAACCATCTTGTTAGTCTTTAAAGTGCTACATAGTTCTCTTTTGTTACAGGAATTAAGTTTTCATGGGTTAACTAACTCAGGTCTTTTATGGCCCTAATAAGATGGAGCAATTAAACAGTAAGAAAAATTTGCAGTTATTCTAAAAGTAAAAGAGAATCATAAGAAGGATCTAGATAAGTGGGTAATCAGAAAAATTCAAGTGTTTTGGGTTTTTTTTACTACCTTTTTTGGCTTACAGCCAGCTTTCAACCAACAAAATTATATGAAGTACTTCAATTTAGGGATATCATCATGTAGTTAACTACACATTGATATCCCTAATTATCAGTTAATCCTGTCGGCTATATGTATCTCCCCCCCCCCCCCCCCCCACCTACTCTCTTTTTC